CGCTTAGCAACTGGCGCTTAGTGGTTGGCACTTAACCGCTGACGCTTAGCGGTTGACGCTTAGTGTTTCACGAGAAGTGGAGTAGAGTCGACTTGATGAAGTGCTTTCTACACCGCGTTCCCCTGACATCACATCCCGGTCTCGTTTTGAAAGCTCAGTTGGATTTTCTACACCTTGTGGAATTCAGTGCATGATTTCTCGTCCAGATAGGTGTCCAGGTGCCCCTCGAAAGGCTCCACATTTCGAGCTTCTTGCACATCACAGCTGCACAAGTATAAACACAGCTAACATTGGCACTGGATGCAGGTGTGGATGTATGGGGTTTGAGACGGGAGAGGCCCGCATGCAGCGGAATGTCCAATGCCGGCGTTCAGTATCTGCAACTTGCATCAGTTGTGGAAGTGAAGAGAGAACTTGGGTATCGCGCTCACAAATCACTTCTGTACATACTTCAATGTCCACTTCCTCAGTCAGGCATTCTTCTATGGTTGAGAAGACTGTACATGCTCACATAGATTCTGTGACATATGCTAGTGTTGACAGATCGCCTACTGCAGCTGGAAGTGGCACGGGAGTACGTTTTAGTGAGGGGCCGCATCCTTCTAGGAGCCTAAGGAGGCTATTCCGTCCTCTGGATTTTGGTTGTGGTGACATGTTGTGCTAGTGTTTGTGTATATATTGTTGAGAATATATTTGTATGCTTTTATTATAAGTGCACTGTTGAAAGTGTGCTTACAGGGGCTCGCCATAGCGAGGGATTTGAACCTGGTGGCGAGTCAACGGGGCGCAACCGAGCACAGCGGTTGCGACCCGCGTGGCAGCTGAAAAGTCGGATTCTGCAGGAGGCAGCGAGAATAGTACACGCAACTGACCTGCGGGGCGCGGCAGGATACCGCGCCCTTGCCGAAGCTGAAAAGTCTCGCCAGTGCGACTGTAACAAGGCAACCCAAGCGACGCAGCGCAACTGTTATACAGTTGCGCCTTGGTAACTGTTTGCCCTATCTGTTTGCTCAGTTGTGATTTTCAATGTTGTAGCCTCGTTACATATTGAAGATTCTTGTGGGAGGAAGACACTATCAGTGCATGATTCTATGTGGAAATGACACGGCAACTTGACCAGTCCGAAGTACTGTACGACCAGGCCATTCCTACTCCCACTCTAGTTTCGTGCAGGTAGGGTTCGCTCGAGTCAGAAATGGAGTTCGGGGGAGGGAAGAAAGGAAGGGAACAGCGGGCAAGGGCAGAACAGACAACCCTATCCAGAGAAGAGGAGAAGCAGAGAAGCAGAGGAGAGGAGCCCCCTTTCGCTCACCCATTCAGCCGCAGCGCATGAATGCACGCAGCTCCAGCCACAAACAGAATTGCGTCACCCCCTTCCCCCTTTTCCCCGCCTCCACCTCATTCTGCCCTCCTCCGCTACTCCCCTCATCTCTCCGCTCCCCCACATCCTTTCCCGCACAGCACGTTACTGTACAAAACACGCTAGCATAGGCACACTCACACAATTCGCCCCTCCAATCCTACGCTTTCTACGCATGTTCAACCCCCTCCTCCCCTCCTCACTTTTCGCTCACTTACGCAACACACACAGCGCGTTCCCCCCGTCCCATTCCCTCGCTTCGCTATGCAAACATCGCTCTCTCAAGTCAGGCAGGCACCCAAGCAAGCCTCGCTCGCAAGTCCAGTTACCCAAGTCTCCAGTTCCCACTTCCTAGTCTTCCCGAGTCCCATCCCTCTCCCGACCGACTCAATCCGCAGTACCCTCCCCACAACAGCAGCAGCAGCTTCGCTTCCCAAAACAGACTGCGTGTTCAGTCTTGTTTTCAGCCCAAGTGTTTCCAAGCTACAACCAACACACATTAGCGCTCTCGAAAGACTAGTTACCGCGTATTGCTTTCCAGTGCAAGGCTTTCCCGTTTGAAGCTAGCTGCATTCTTTGGAAGTGACTCCCTTGCCTTGTCTTCAACTGCTCTCACCTTCAATCTCGCTGCTTCCGGTCTTTCCACTGCGGCCCAAGATTCCGTCAACGCTTTTGCAGTCAGCGCTTTTCCCTCCGCTGTCGCTGCTATTCCGTACAGAAAGGAGCTCCGTTCCAGCCTACATTCTGCATTTTGAAACGGTGAAATATCCCCATCACCTGAAAGCAACGAAGTCGGGGCGTGTAAACGCCGCTACGTATTTAAGCCTTTTTTCTGCAGCCCATCTCGCGCCGCGCTCTTCGCCTGTACCAGCTTCGCATTGCGGATTCAGGAGCATCTCTATCTGCTTATTACGCGGCATTTTTGTTTTCTGCGTTCGAAACGTTTCGAGCGGAACAGTCGAGAACCGCCGAGTTGAAATTCCAGATCTGCGTCTGAGACGGCTCCCACGTTTGTTACATTCTAGCAGCGGCTGCTTTCGCGCGAATATGGTTACCATGTCCATACATCTCGCCGAGGAATCTCTCGAAGGTGCCTCTGGATCTGAGCCACGGCAACTTCTGTCTTCCGTCGCCGCCGCGGGCGATTCCATCGCAACTGTCGCCGTCGTCATGGGCGATACCGCTGGCGACGTGCCTGCTCTTGCTGATTGCGACGAAGTTCGTCGTTTGCCGCTCTCCATGCCTGCGACTTACGAGTCCAACAAGGGAGGCGCTGACGCGCTGGATGCGTCCGGTTCGAGCAGACTGGCCGTCGGGACATCTGAACCGTTCGATTTGATTGTGAATGCTCCAGAAGCGCGCGATTCTACCGTCTATCTGTTTGGGACCAAGGTACGCACGGACCGGGGGCTGTATGCGCTGCTGGGAGTGGGAAGGATGGGGGTGGGAGGGCGCTCGACAAGGGGAGGGCACTTAAGGATTTGGACACCTTTTTTTTTTTTTTTTTTTTTTTTTTTTTTTATGGGGGGGGGAGGGAGGGGAATATTTTTGCAAAATTTCCCACTCGCGTCTTCCCTAATCTTCTTTCCCCCTGTTTTCCAACAACTACACTATCTCTTTATTTCAGCGACCGCATGCATCTGCGTTTGAAGGTGCTTCGGAACCGGAAAAGGCCAAAAGAGGGACAGCTGACAAGGAAGCGCGGATATGCTGTTCTCCGCATCAGCAAGCATGCAGCGGTCTGACAACTGTCGACGGCGTCGATTCAACTCCACCACCAGCAGATCTTCGACGAAGCAATCGCGCTTCGTTATCCGGACAAGCTGAACTCGATTTCCGTTTGGCGCTGTCTACAAACGCTGGATTTTCTACACCAAACTCTCATCTTGAAGTTGTTCCTTCAAGCTCAACATTTGAAACATCTGCTGAATTTTCTACCCCTCAAGGAGATGGATCTCGGATTCCTGTCCCAGCAGAGTGTCCTGGTACACCTAAGAAGGTGACATTTTCCACATTTATCTCACGTCTTGGTGGCATGAATGGCAACAATGCTGGTTCTACAACCCCGAGCCGACAAGCCAGTGTGGAGCGTGACGCAAGCGGGAGAACAGAGCTTTGCAGTTCTGAAATTCTGGATGACAATCTTGGCAATTCTGAAGCTGGCATCGCATCTGCAACCGCCATGAATATTCCGCTTGCGTCCTCGACACTAGCAACGATTGAGAACTTCAGAATTCCGTTGGTCCAAGCTCCGCGTCGACCCTCGGGCAATCTAAGGAGACTCTTTCGTCCGCTTGACTTCAGTTCTGCAGGCGTCAGATGCTGACGTGGCTGATGTGACCCGTCCCTGCTTCTGACACCCTAAACCTTGACTAATGGACCGCTGAGTTGCTAACTTTTCTTGCAAGAATTTGGGCTTTTAAGGAGGCAACTAGTGTAATCTTCTGAAGATCACCGCATTGTGGTCTGCTGACTAGGTTGCCTCTGCTGATTTGCTTGCCTGTGCGGGCTTCTGCTAACCTGCTGCTGGTATCTGCTGGCCTTGCTGTGCTATGGATCTGCTCGTCGCTCACCAGCTGCTGGTTTCTGCTGGCCTGCTGTCGGCTGAATCTGCTTGCATCTGCTGACCTGCTGCTGGCTTCTGCTGACCTGCTGCTGGCTTCTGCTGACCTGCTGGCTTCTGCTGACCAAGATTGGGATAATCAGATTGAAATTTAGTGTAGAGCATTTAGGGAAACGGGTAGTCCTGTAGTTTGCAGCCCTCATGTTGCTATCGCAGGGCTTGGGTTCTATTGAGTTGTTAGGGTTGTGCAGGAATTAACCCGTTTTGCATTGCATTGGCTCATCAACTGTAAATTCGATATTCCAAATATTGTTATTTCAGATGCTTACACTTTACGGTATGTTTTCAACGTCGGTTCAAACTTTAGCTCAATATTGAGGTCAAATACACGTTGTCGAGGCCTCATGTTCCTGGCCCCAACGGTTACACGTCAGTTCAGATGTTAGTGGTGTGTGATGCAGCCACGTCTCGCACTTTCAGACAGGCCAATCATAGACCCATTAGTGTGAAAAGTAGGTTCTGAACTGAAGGCAGTCTCGCGACGCGACCCTTTAAGAACCGCGACGAGCATTGATTGAGTAAACTGTCTTCCATGTGCAGGAAAGTATCGGTGGACGACTTATACAAACGTTGAGGAACCAGTGCGAATAGGAGCGACTGAGCGGAAAACCCTTGAGAAATTCTGACGGAGTATTGCACATTGCAGCGTATCTTTTCAGCGGAATTTGCGCGATTTGTTCCGACATCCGTGCGCGAAGAATACGATGGTCCCGCGCAATGCGTACCAACGCGCTTCTCGAGGCTCCTCATAAAGCGTACCAGCGCGGCTTCGGCGGCTAAAAAAATTCGATTGTTCTCCGCGTTACGCGGTCGTTGTGCTCTCCTCACTCCGTACAGTCAAGTCGACAGTGGCGCTTTAGAACCTTAGGTTTTTTGAAACTCCGCCGTGGAAAGTTGGCTGACGCTTAGTGGCTGACGCTTAGCAACTGGCGCTTAGTGGTTGGCACTTAACCGCTGACGCTTAGCGGTTGACGCTTAGTGTTTCACGAGAAGTGGAGTAGAGTCGACTTGATGAAGATGTCTCCTGTCGATGCAACAACAGCGCGAGCAGGAGCAACAGGTATGTTTTTCGAACAGTGTGGGTGAGCGGGTTGTGGGTGTGTGTGTGGGGCGGAGACTTTCGGGGCGACATTAAAGACGGCGCGAGCAGGAGCAGCATGGGGAGGAGCAATAGGTATGTTCTTTCCCATTCCCATACACATCTCCCGTTTCTGCTTATATCGAGACAGACCACGATGCGCGTATGCGCCACCCCGATTATCCCCTTACCCTTTCCCCCGCGCTCTTCTCGCTTCCCCTCTCCCCATTTCCCCCGCTCCCCCACTTTCCCCTTTCGCCTTTCCATGCTCTTCCGGTTTCCCTTCTCCATTTTGTTGCTCACCCTGCTCTCCCCTTCCCCTCCCCCCCCTTTCGGCGTTCCCCTCGCTTCCTCAATCCTTCGCCTCCCCGCTCCCCGTTCCCCCCGTTCTTCGGTCTTCCCGCTCCCCGCCCCCCCCCGCCCTCCCCGCTCCCGTTGCCCCGCTTGTAACGGGTCAGACCAAGATGCAGACGCGCAGGTTCCCCGATTCCGGCGGAATAACAACTCCGCTGCTGCCGCTACTGGTGCAGGGGGTGCAGGGAGAGCAGGGGGAGAAGGCGGAGGGCCAGGGGCAGGGGTAGGGGCAGGGGGAGGGGGAGGGGGAGGGGGAGGGGGAGGGGGAGGGGGAGGGGGAGGGGGAAGGGGAGGGGGAGCGGAAAGGGGAGGAGCGGGTGCAGTGAGAGCTGGAGGGGGAGGAGGTGCGGCAGGGGAAAGGGGAGGCGCAGAAGCAGGGAGAGGGGCAGGGGAAGGACGGGCCGAATTGCGGGGGAATCTGGGTGATTTACCCGCTGAAAATGCTGCTTCTGGTGGTGGCGCCTCTTTTGGAAATGAGGAGGAAGGGGTAGAAGCGGGAGAAGGGGGGGAAGGGGGAGAGGGGGGAGAGGATGAGTATTACGATGAGGATGAGGATGAGGAGGAGGATGAGGGGGAGGAGGGGGGCCAGGCGGGGGGAAGGGGAGGGGGAGGGGGAAGGGCGGGGGGGTGAAGGTGGTGTGGGGGCGCAGGGGGTGGGGGGGGAGTGAGGCGGAGAGGGGGAAGCACGGCTGAGCGAGAGCACAAGAGATTAAGGAGGTACGTGAACAGCTTAGGAGGTATGAGAACGATGACAGACTGTTTGGGGTTTAAAATGTACAGGAAATTAGGGGGTTTGAGTGAACAAATTGAGGATCAAGTGGGTGGATCAATTGCCATGCGTACAGGTGTGAGATGAGAGGCAGGCATCTGGGCAAATGAGAGAGACATGCGTTGGTGTGGGTGGTGGTATAGAATGAGGCGGGTTTTTTAGTCGACAAAAAAATCGACTTATCACACATGTGGGCAGGAGGGAGAGGCATGTCTCGTGTGGACGGTTTTGAGGCGCCTCAAAACCGGTCATGAGAGAGAGGCATGCCTGGTGTGGACGGTGGTATAAAATGAGGCGGGTTTTACTGATGTGTAGTGTTCCTTGGCTTGAATTACTCTTCCCTTCATGCCATCGTCTCCTTTACAGGGTGCTTCGCAACAGGGTATCTGCACAGCAGGCGAGGGAACAGTGCCATTTCCTGATCAGAGTTAACGTTAACGCTAACATCTCGTGATCCATCCCCTTTACAGGCTACTTCGCAACAGGGTGTCGGCGCAGCAAGCGAGGGAGGGGCGGAAGCAGTACCTCGGAACTGGAGGGGCAGGTGCGTCTTAGTTGGAGAGGCAAGATACTCACCTGGACCAGAGGATTGCCTCTTCCCTTCCTGCTTATTGTCCCCTTTACAGGCTACTTCGCAACAGGGTGTCGGCACAGCAAGCGAGGGAGCGGCGGAAGCAGTACCTTTCAGAGTTAGAGGGGCGGGTTTCTCAGCTGGACCAGCGGAATGCTGAGCTAAAAGAAACACTTAGCACCTTGCAGCGGGAGAATTTCATGCTGAGACAGGTATGAAGGGGATCAGAAACAACGTTTTGCTAAATGGGTGCAATTTGAACAGTACTAAGTATTGAGCAGGGGTGTTAGCAGCTGGATCAGCAGATATCAAAGGTAAGAGAAACACTCTGCAACTTGTTACGGTATAACTTCACTTATATCAGTATCAATAATGTCATTTCCATGATCCCCTCTCATGTCACCTGTTCCCATGCTTTTTCTTCGTATCCCTTGAACCTTCCTCTTTCCCCGGATCATATCTGGGCTACTAAGGGCATCTGTGTTTTTTTTTTTCAAGCTTCCCAAAGTTCGAACTTTTATAACGGTTCTAGAAGGTTGGATTCAGTTGAAAGATGTTTGGCCACGGTGCAGAGCTGTTTGAGTTCAAACTTTGACAGTTTTCCACAAATCATGCCTTCAGCTCATGGTATGTGGATGAGTTGCAATAATGGTTCTGAGTGTGATTGTGCATGTGATCAAGTGTTTATTTTTCAAATTTGATTGTAGTTTCGCTTCCCCCTTTCCCCCGATGTCCCTCATTACCTTCCGTCTCCCTTCCCCCCTGCCAGGTGGCTCGGAACACGGCTCAAGCAGCAGACGCCCCACCAAGCAATTGACCAGATTTCCCCTCTAACCAAAACACAGCTCAAGGGAAGAGAGACTACTAAACACAAAGACTACGAGCGCGTTTATTGTGTCGAGGATAGAAACACAGCTCAAGCACCTTAAGACTGAGAAATTCTCCTTCATTTCCAAACCGAAGAGGTCATGCAACTAGATTATTACCGTAAGATAACGGCGAATACCTTGTTTTCTGACTTGACTATGACCTGTGTCATCTGTCTATCCTCCTCTATATTCTACATTTTTCCTACTTGTACAGTAACACTTTCAATCCTGAAGAAAGAAAACATTCTTCGAAGAAAAAGATGTAACAGTTACCCTGTGCCTCCCCTACATGCCCCTACACCATCTATCCCTTTGAGCATCTGCACGCCCCTGTGACAAGCACTGCTGCACAAACCCCACGTGTGGAGCAATGCCAATGTTCACTATGCCAATAGTGAACATGGGGGAATGGAGAGGCGGGCTGTTGCTGGTGCTGCTGCTGCTGCTGCTGGTGGCGGTGGTGGAGGTGGTTGTGCTGCTGCTGCTGCTCCTCCTACTACCGCCTGACCCTATGCCCTCTATCCCTCTAAGCATCTGCACGCCCCTGGGAGGGGAACTGCTCTACGAACCCTGCGTGCAGCGCCACACCAATAGGCAGGGCCGCCTCGTCGATGGTGAACATGGGGGAATGCAGAGGCGGGCTGCTGCTGCTGCTGCTGCTGCTGGTGGCGGTGGTGGAGGTGGTTGTGCTGCTGCTGCTGCTCCTCCTATTACCACTGCCCCTGCCCCTATGCCCTCTATCCCTCTAAGCATCTGCCCGCCCCTGGGAGAGGAACTGCTCTACGAACCCTACATGCAGCGCCACGCCAATAGGCAGGGCCGCCTCGTCGATGGTGAACATGGGGGAATGCAGAGGCGGGCTGCTGCTGCTGCTGGTGGCGGTGGTGCTGGTGCTGCCGCTAGTGCTGCTGGCACTGCTGCTGCCACTGGTGCCATTGATCCCAGACGCCCCCACTCCCAAGAAGAACATGGCACCAGGCACCGCCTCCTGATAGAAAGAAAAATCCTCCCCTGCCATCCACGGATCTACATCCAGGTACGCGGAGCTTCCCAGAAGCTTCCGGACCACGTCGCGGCCGAGCGCGTGCATGCTGACGTCATTCACCGTGGGCGGATAGGCTGGGATGCGCTTTGGCGGCCAGTCGTACCCGAGAGGGTCGGAAAGAGGCTCGGAAGGAGATTCACCAGCATTGTTGGCAGTACAGGACCCTTGGGCTGTGTTGCTAGCTGTGTTTGTGCAGAAACCTTCTGACCCTGCTGTCTTCGCTGCTTCTTCTGCTGCTGCTGCCAAACCATCCGAAGCAGAAGCACCAGCAGCAGCAGAAGCATCAGCACCACCATCAGCATCAGCAGCAGCTTGCACGTTGGCGTCCATCATCCCATAATCCACCCCACCCCGGCATCCAAACACGCGCGCCTGCATGTCGATGATGTCAGCAATGCGCCGCTCCAGGTCAGCGAGCCCGTCTTTAGTGGTGGCTCTATAGGTGCCCCTCAGTGTGACTGTATCGGGGATGACATTGTCTGCTGAGCCGCCGTGGAACTGAGTCACTGAAACGACTCGTGAAGCAAACGGGTCTGTTTCCCTCGATACAATCGCTTGGAGGCTGGGGAACAGAGGGCAGGAAGCAGGGAGAGAGGGGGATGTGGTAAGATAGTGAAAAATCGGGGCGAGAACTTTTTTAAGGCGCCTCAAAAGATTTTTGAGGCGCCTAAAAAATCGCAAGGCAAAGGGGTCTGTCTCTCGAGAGACGATGGCACGGAGGCTGGGGGAACAGAGGGCAGTAAGCAGGGAGAGAGGGGGATGGGGTAAGACAGTGAAAAGTCGGGGTCCAAAGATCTAGATTTGGAGGTGGCTCTGAAGGGAGCGACAGGCGAAGACTCTAATAGTGCTGCCCAGATCACCATACCTAGCAACGATGTGAGCAGCAGCGAGGATGGGATCTGCAGCGAACTGAGGCATGGCGGCATGTCCGCCCCTTTGCCCCACACTGTGGCAGGCCGATTCTTGCTCGGATCCAATGTTCACTTCTGAGATGTCTTAAAAGTAGACGACTTTTGGGACGTCTTAAAAGTAGATGACTTTTGGGACGTCTTAAAAGTTTGCCCCACACAGTGGCAGGCCGATTTTTGACTGGGGTGCTCAACTCACCTTGACACGATGTGAGCAGCAGCGAGAATAGGGTGGGCTGCGAACTGGGGCATGGCTGCATGCCATCCCTTGCCCCACACTGTGGCGTTGAACCGCCCCAGACTGACAGAAGACGTGCAGTGGTACAATGATTATCTTACCTTGACACGACGTGAGCAGCAGAAAGGATGGGGTCTGCAGCGAACTGAGGCATTGCCGCATGGCCCCCCTTGCCCCACACTGAGGTATTGCATTGACCTGACCCTGCTAACAGCAGCCCTTCTGTTGCCCCCCATTTACCTATCGGTCCTTCATGAATGTAAGCTCTTACCTGGATACGATGTGAGCAGCAGCGAGGATCGGGTCTGCTGCGAACTGAGGCATTGCGGCATGCCCGCCTTTGCCCCACACTGTGGCGTTGAACCGACCTGACCCCGCTAGCAGCATGCCAGGGCGGCTGCCTACGTAGCCTGCTGGGATCTGAGCGGGAGAGATGGAGGGAAAGAGGGTACACAGAGAGAGGGGGAGGGAAGTTAGAAGTGGAGGGAAGTGGGCGGAAGGGAGGATTGAAGAAGAGCAAGAATGAACCCGATAGCAGCATTCCGGGCTGGCTGTCCACATAACCTGCTGGGATCTGCAGGAAACAAAACAAATTGGGAAAGAGAACGGGTGAGAAAGGGGAGAACGGGAGCAGAAAGGGAGAACAAGCAGAGAGAGAAACGAGCTTGGACCAGTTGCAGCGTGGCCCATTCCTCTTGCCCCGCATTGTGGCGTTGAACTGAGCAGACCCTGGTAACAGCATGCTGGGGTGACTGCCCACAAAGTCTGCTGCGATCTTTACAGGAGGAAACAGGGGAGGGAGAGGGTGAAAGGGGAAGAGAGCGTAGGAAAGACAATGAAGGTGGGGGAAAGTGGTGGAGAGGCAGCGGCATTAACAGGCAGAATAATGAAATTAGCACAGGGTGTATATATGTACCTATGTATACATATATTTACAAATAAATGTGCCTCTCAACTTGGGCAATACGTGCAGGCCAAAGACAGCAAATGCGCTATAACGCGGGTGCTCCACACAAAAGAGTTGGGAGGTGCTGGAGCCATAACATGGATGATTTTGATGGTGCGGAACGTTTTATATGGAGTAACCGAGTAGAGATGATGAGATGGTGGAATGAGATTAAGGACGCGGATTCAAAGTCAAGGGAGAACTAGGGTGCTGATGGCAAGTTTCTCCCGAATGTTTGGGTGTGTGTTCAAAATGCAAGAGCGTTGGAGCTGTTGACTCTCAACCAAAGCAATAGAAGCAAACAAGATCTTGTGCTTCTTCTACGGTTGCTTAGGCTGCATCTGCTGCTGCCTTTGCTGTCCAGATCGTTGAAAGCCACTAGTTCCAACGCTCTTGCATTTTGAGCCCGCTGCCAAACATCCGGTAGAAACTTGCCATCAGCACCCCAGATGCCCATTGACTTCAAATTCGCGTGCTTAATCTCATCATCTCTGCCTTGTCGCTCATATAAAACGTGCAACCGTCGAAATCATCTGCGTCATAGTTCTAGCACTTCCCGACTCCTTCATCTAGAGCACCCGCGTTATGGTGGACCAGTTGATTTGCACTGTGGATCAATAGATATGGATGCATACATACATTTACATATAAATATGCTTCGCACCTTGAGAGCTCCATGACGCATGATTCGTTTCCCCCCCTTCAAGACATATGTGCGTGTAAAAACATAATTAGATTACATAGACTTCCTAACTCAGGTGATCCATGCAGAGTGAATGCATCAGACGTACCCTTGAGCGCCCCCCCATCCAGCATGCGCCCCCTTCCTCAAAAATACATATGTTTTCACATAACTATTAGACATAGACTTCTCACCTTGGATGAGACGTGCAGGGCGAATGCAGCACACGCGCCCTTGAGAGGCCCCACATTCACCATCTGCGTTCCCCCTTCCACATGTATGTGTATGCATTTACATACATATACATAATCTAATCACAAAGAGTTCCCACCTTGCGTGCAGCGCGAAGGCAGCAGATGCGCCCTTGAGTGCCCCCCCATCCACCATGCGCTTTCTCCCCTTCCACCCTCATATGTACACATGCATAACACATTCATACCAATACATAGACATCCCACCTTAGGTGAGACATGCAGGGCGAATGGAGCACACGCGCCCTTGAGTGCCCCCCCATCCAACATGCGCTTTCCCCCTTCCACATACATATGTATGCATTCATAACACAGTCATTCGCGTGTGCATGCATAACACATTCGCACATTACACAGACTTTCTACCTTAGGTGATACGTGCAGGGCAAAGGCAGCAGACGCGCCCTTGAGAGCCCCCCCATCCACCATCTGTGTTCCCCCTTCTACATGTATGCGTATGCATTTACATACATATACACAATGTAATCACAAAAGTTTTCTACCTTGGGAGATACGTGCAGGGCAAAGGCAGCAGACGCGCCCTTGAGAGCCCCCCCATCCACCATCTGCTTCCCCCTTCTATATGTATGCGTATGCATTTACATACATATACATAAATGTATCACAAATAGTTCCCACCTTAGGAGATACGTGCAGGGCGAAGGCAGCAGACGCGCCCTTGAGCGCCCCCCCATCCACCATCCGCTTTCCCCCTGCCCCCCCTTCCTCAGCAGGTTGGAAGATAAGACGAACCGTGCCGCCCAAGGTACCTGGGAAAGAGGCAGTGACAACAACGACAGAGGAGCAGGAGACAAACCATTATGCAAGGAATAAGAGAGAAAGATATGAAACAATAGAGTTAAGAGACACAACAAAGAGACACAAGCGGGATGAGATACAGCAGCAATCATTAAAATAAGCCGCCATTAGGGTAGGCTGTCATTAGGGTAAGCAAGGACACACATCACATTTCCACATCCATACATGCAGTCATACTGGCCTGACCATCCAGGGAAGAAAACACTGTCTACCCAAGAAAGTGCGTTTCAGACGCGTGCTCAACACATTCCTCCCAGAAAAAAGGAGTTTTTTTTTTCGTACCTGCCCGAGAGCGCTCCTGGAGAATCCGGGCAGCGGCGAGCAGCATGGCGGTGTGGGCGTCGTGGCCGCAGGCGTGCATGGCACCGGGATGGCGCGACTTGAAGGGCACGTCTGTCTCTTCAGTGATGGGCAGCGCGTCCATGTCGGCACGCAGGGCGACCACTGGACCTTCGCCTGTGCCAATCGTTGCCACAACACCTGCACTCGAAACAAGGGGCATGCGTGCATGGCACCGGGATGGCGCGACTTGAAGGGCACGTCTGTCTCCTCTGTGATGGGCAGGGCGTCCATGTCCGCTTGAAGAGCCACTATTAGCTCTGCTCCACTGCCGATTGTTGCCACCACGCCTGGCATCACGAAAATGGGCATAGCAAGAGGGACACAGGAGGCTTGAAGAGAGCATTTCCTCTGCGATGGGCAGCACGCCCAAGTCAGCACAAACAGCCACTATCAGTCGGTGGTGCGCCAATTCTGGCGAGGTAGGGAGGAAAATTTTTGAAGCGCCTCAAAAATCGTTCTGGCGAGGTAGCGAGGGAAGGTTATTTCCATGACCCACTGTCTCCTAAGCTCAAACATACCCGCTATAAGCCTCATGGTAGACCCGCTATAAGCACCATCTCACCTGTGGTTCCAGCGAAGTTGGCCTGGAACGGTATTCCCAAGGATGCCAACGTCTCCTGCACCATGGCGCTCGTCCGGAATTCGCGGAACATGAGCTCGGGAATCTCGTGGAGCGCTCTCCTCAGACCCAGCACCATGGCCAATCCGTTGCTGCCACGTGCCTCTTCTAGAATCGCCTGGAACGTCACCCCGCCGCTGGCTGACACGTGTACTGGGGCGAGCAGGAGGATGAGGGAGACGAAGAGGAGGTGGAATAGGAAGAGGTGGACGGGCGGCTGAGGAGGAGGAGCCATGGCGTACCTGCAAGAAGCAACGTAAAAGAGAATATTAGAAGGAAAACGAAAAAAACACGCATGGACTGGAATCCGAAAAAGGCTCAAATTTATCTAAAGTTTACAGATAATAGGTGTATGCTATACTCGCTGGAGTTCGGACGCAATGATTTAAAAAATAGGCGAGAAATGATGACGCGTCGACATCAATTGTTTCTTGCAGAGGCAAACTCCCATGGATCTGAGAGATATGTGATGGCAGATGTAGGAAAATCTGGCAAGATCCGGCTCTCGTAGTGGCTCTAAGGAAAAACAACCGGACTGTAACTAGAACGACTGGATCAGGGCTCCACGCAGCCCTGAAGATGCGCGCAGCTGCAACAGACATTAAACTGAAGTCGGGAAAACGAAAACCCACCTCTTAGTCTTCACGGGTATCGTACGAACAGCTGACCATGCAACGTGACAATTTCTTCGGCTGGGAGATTCGAAGTACAAGGGTTATAACCACTCGCAACATAAATCGAAGTGGGTCTGGCTCAAATCATCAACACACTATACCACGCTCTTACGTAGCTGAAACGCACTGTACCGTTTTGAACATCTGGAATTCTAAAAACTGATGCCTGGTTGATACGAGTGCCCCAAGCACAACACCACCATCAATTCAACAATTTACTCAGCTACGTACAGTGGCTCAAGAAAAGAAAATATGAGTGCCCCAAGAAGAAAATATGAGTGCCCCAAGCACAACACCACCATCAATTCAGCAATTTACTCAGCTACGTACAGTGGCTCAAGAAAAAAAACCGCCGATGCCGGGGATCGAACCCGGATCTTCCGCGTGACAGGCGGAGATACTGACCATTATACTACATCGACACGTCATTGGCCGGGCAACTATTTTATTGATAGTTTTTTTGAACAACGTTTTTCCATGGCATCGTGCTTGGGCCCAGTTTGGCAGGCATAAAAAAACCGGGCGAGGGGGATGGGCTACAGTGAACCGACCACCCTGGAACCTTCCCTGATAAGCGTGTGAAAGATTATCAAGGTTCGATATAAGCGGACTACGCCGAACCTGACAATAATGGAATGCCAATCAAACACCCCGTTATCCGATGACATTTCCAACCTACCGTTTCTTCAACGAACCCATTTTCCCTAGCAAAGAGCCCATTTTCGGACACCCCGCACCATGCGGCCTCGAGGCCCCGCACCATGCGGGGTATCAGTGATTCTGGGCAATGAAAAGTGACTGCCAGCCAATCACATGATCACGCGCAACTGCCTACCATCTTCGGCGAAACCCCAAATTTCGATCGATGCCATCAATCCACACCCAATTAATGCCAACCAAACACTCAGCCCCATTTTTTTGAAGGTGCACTGCAGCTACAGTCCGATTTCGAAGCTGTTTCTCGAGGTGCCTAGGTGGCATTTTTTGGGGGCCCGTTAAAAATGCCCATCATGGCCATAATGGCCATGATGCCTGCCAAACTGGGCCTTGATGTCATGAAACTAGCCTTCCCCCGTCCCCCTTTCCCTCATGCTCTCTCTTGGTTCTTGCAACACCGTCATGTCCTTGGTTCTTGCTTCTACCGACGCACCACCAACCACACACCACCTCAGGGAGGGAGCGAGAGAGAGGGAGGACAGACATGCGCGCCAAGTCCCTCCCAGCATAAACAGCGGCAGGTGGGAGAATTTCACGGAAAATCACCGACTGAAAACAAATGACCGACTCGGGTACAGTGAATGTGCACCCACCCACCAACCAATTCCACCATACTCGAACCGTACGGCACCGCATTCGCTTGGTTCGAGTGGTGGGGACGAATTGTCGCGAAGCAGCACAAAGCTGTCGTGGGAGGCGTCTTTGCCAAGTCTTGCCTCCAAGACAGGTGGTGGATTGCGGAACTCACCCAGCGTCAAACCTTTTCACCGTACTGTGTACTTGGTGAAACCTACTGTACCTCACAGTATTCCTGTCGGTCCCACCTGCCTCAGAATCCACCCAACCCAACAACTCTTGCCGTCCAAAGTAAGGGGGACCTCTGGACTGGACTAACTCCTGATTACTGACTCCTAAGGGCGTGTGTGAATCTAAATATTACCATAAGTTTACATTTTGGATTCGATTGTAGCAAGTGAACACAAAGCGAGCCTGACTCGATTTTGAGTACGTTGCAAAGTTCGAACCGCCAGAGTCAAAAGTTGCACACTCAAAACCACACACGCAAGTGCGAATTTGCAAGTTCGAGCTTGTAGGGGGGAAACCGAACCGCCACTGGGGTGTGTAGGTTACCCAGTTTCGACATCTTGACAGCTCGACACGTCAACGGAGCGCGCCCCCCAAATGGACCCTCTAGACCTCCACCTCATCATCGTACCCCGAATGGTGGCTGATGTGGGGTGTACATTGTTGGGCCATTTTCAGGTTCGATCTCTACAGTACAGGAAATATATTCAGGTGTGATCCAAATATGTTACGGAACTGTTACGTTACTGTACACACGTGCTGCAACAGTGCAATATGCAGACTCGCCACTCACATCTTGTTCAGCTGACGGGATATATTTTGTCTCTGACACATTCTGACGGAAGTCAAACATACAACATGGCCAGACAAAACTACCCGAAGCTGTTAATGCTACCCTGAAAAAACAAAATATAACCCCTAGAGGGCCTGGAAGCAGTTTCGGGAGGGATCAACCTTAAACACGGGAACCCATCTGGTGTTTAGGGTTGATGCCTCCCGATTCGTCCGTTCCGATTGGGTTTTATTTTTTTTGTCACGAAAACCTTACGGAGGCATCAACCCTAAACACCTGGAGGTCCCCGTGTTTAGGGTTGACATCCCAAAATGCCGTTCAGGGTCACTAAAGCTTTTAGTTTTGTTTTTTTCGGGGCATGTCTTAGCACTTCCTGGTAGGTTCGGTAAACGAAGCGTGTGTGAGCGAATTTATTTCGCATTAACTTCCCTCAGCAAGTACAAATTTGAGTGGTGCATCTTTCCAAGGCTGTATTCTGGCACGTGTGTACAGTGCACAGCAGAGACTTGGAAATATGCGCCGGTATCGCACCTGAATACATTTCCTGTACTGTAGAGATTGCACCTGAAAATGGCCCTACATTGTTGGCGCAAATTTCGCTGCCAGTGCGCCAACTTCTAGTCAAGCGCAGAAGCGGCACGTCATCGTGCCACGACATGATACACGTGGCGGCAGTTGCCTGATTGGGTATGCTGTGGGTTTCGGTTGTGCATCTATTGGTGCACGAAGGCTTTGCGATTGTCGCGAACTCCTCGTACGTGCCTGAAACCACACACGTTCGCTTCAACGTGCAAAACCATGTTTGCTCATAAACTCGAATCTTGTTCACTTTGGGGGGTTCGAGTGCCATCAGGATCAGCTTGACCCCAGAGTCGGCGAAAGAATTTGCGTACAACTGCGAAACTAGTTACCACTCTAAGTTCGAACCTATTTTCGAACTCCATTTAGATTCACACACGCCCTAACTTCTGACTTGTTCGTTACTCATAGCACAGTCCCAGGGATTATACCTTCGGCGAGTTACTCATAACACACATATCGAGGCGAGTCCTCCTAAGCACGAATCCAGTGCCGCGTGGATTTTTATTGGTGTACATAATCCTCGCTTGTCGCCTCGGTTGCCAAACGTAACTCCGATTAGTGTTGTCGAGGTGCTTGAGATTCGCGTTCTGGCCTGGCCTGGGCTCCTGTAATCATATATTCTGGGAGGAATACTTGCTACTAACTACCGCGTTACGCACGCGTTAGGGTCGGACGGAATCCATCTCCCCAACATTCCTCTTGTCATCCGCGTTCTGCGTCATTCCCCGCATAATTCTCCGCGTTCCGAGTCACCCCCCCCGTCATTCCCTCGCGTTCCGCGTCATTCCCCGCATCACTCTCCCCATCGCGTTGTACCATTCTCCGCCACTCTTTCCGAGTCGCGCCATCTACGCCTGAGTCGTAGCACTGTTAGTACCGTTTTCCGCCGCTGAGACACCCGCCGCAACCACTCTTCCAGAGGACGCCTCGCTTGTTCGCACCTCGCTCGCTCGCACCTCGCTTGTTCGCACCTCGCTTGTTCGCACCTCGCTCGCTCGCACCTCGCTTGTTCGCACCTCGCTCGTTCGCACCTCGCTCGTTCGCACCTCGCTCGTTCGCACCTCGCTCGTTCGCACCTCGCTCGTTCGCACCTCGCTCGTTCGCACCTCGCTCGTTCGCACCTCGCTCGCTCGCACCTCGCTTGTTCGCGACCTCGTCTAGTAGTCTCTCTGCGATAAGCCGACCGTCTCGTTCCACAGATCTCCGCGCCAGTTCCGCCAGTTCCGCCAGTTCCGCCAGTTCCGCCAGTTCCGCCCGTTCCGCCGTTTCCGCCCGTTCCGCCACTTACTCTAGCTCCACCATCGCGCGCGCCATGCACGGGCGGCAGCTTCCGCCGGCGCTACACTGTCTGCGCGTCCGCCAATCGCGAAACGTCCTAGCGGCCGCTGCGCCGCTCGTTTCCCTCATCTTGCTAGCGCTCACGTCGTTCGAGGAATTCGGATCGGTGCAAGTCGGTGCTACGCCGTTCAGTGTGTATGATTCGTACCAGCCGCCGTGCCCCTTCCTGCCCGACCCTCCCCCGCAAGGTGCGCCCGTCCTTCAGCGCGGTACATTTCCCCCCCCCTCCCCCTACAGCGCGGTACATTCCCCCCGCGTCACACGATTCCCCCGCGCCACACGATCCCCCCGCGCCACACGACCCCCCCGCGCCACACGATCCCCCCGCGCCACACGATCCCCCCCCCGCGCCCCACGATCCACCCCACGCGCTACAGAAGTAAAGATCCCGTCCGCACGTCCCTTCCCTCGCCTCCGTTTCTCTTTTGCCCTCCCTCCCTTCCCACGCTCCGCAGAATTCCACCCCACGCGGTAGAAGAAGTTATAGATCCCGTTCGCACGTCCCTCCCCTCTCCTCCTTTCCTCTCCCTTCCCTTCCTACCTCCCTTCATTTCCCTTACCCTCCTCCCTTCCATCCTTCCCTCCTCCCCTCCCCTCTCCCGCTCCGTCCTTTTACTTTTTTTTTTTTTCTTTTCTGTTCTCCAATCCCGTTATAATAAAAACCTGCCAGGCTGGAAGCGGTGGAGCGACCCTGCCACGTGGACCAATGGTGGCAGCTCCGTGATTCCCGGAGTGAAGGCCACGGGGGGCGAGTGGGCGGATGTGACTATACCGTGCGGGACGGCCGTGCTGCTGGACGTGCCTCTAGTGAGCCTCAACAGGCTGGTGATCAAAGGATGGCTCAGGTACGGTGCTGCGCGGCGCGCTTGTAGGCGTTTTATATGTGTGCATGTAGACGGATGTGACTATACCGTGCGGGACGGCCGTGCTGCTGGACGTGCCTCTAGTGAGCCTCGGAAAGATCATAGTCAAGGGAAGGCTCAGGTACAGTTTATATGTGTATGCATGTCTGTGTGTACAGTGTATGTGCATGTGTGCTGCTGGACGTGCCTCTAGTGAGCCTCAACCGGCTCGTGACCAAGGGATGGCTCAGGTGCTGACCTTACGGTCGTGTATGTGTGTGTGCTGGTATGGATGCACGTGCGCGTGTGTGCATGCGTGCAATTTGCGCTGCTGGCTGGATGTACCTTCAGTGAGCCGTAACAGGCTCCTGAGTAAGGGATTGCTCAGGTATGACACGTTAAATATGATAGATGCATACGTCGGTTGTGTTAATGTTACTATTGAGCATCCTCAAAGCGTAACAGGCTCGTGAGTAAGGGGTAGGTTAGCTCAGGTATGACACGTTAGATATGATAGATGCATACGTTGGTTGTGTTAATGTTACTATTGAGAACCCTCAAAACGTAACAGGCTCGTGAGTAAGGGGTGGCTCAGGTATGACACGTTAAATATGATAGATGCATACGTCGGTTGTGCCTACGTCGGTTGTGCCTTCATCATGGTTCAACGCCGCCGCTCAGTCGATTCCTCTTCAACGCCCTTCCCTTCAGCCGCCTCCCTCTCTTCACCCTCCTCCCTTCCCTCCTGTGTGTGCACGTGCCTCTCTCCCTCCTGTGTGTGCACGTGCCTCTCTCCCTCCTGTGTGTGCACGTGCCTCTCTCCCTCCTGTGTGTGCACGTGCCTCTCTCCCTCCTGTGTGTGCACGTGCCTCTCTCCCTCCTGTGTGTGCACGTGCCTCTCTCCCTCGTTCCCTGCCTTCACTGAAACCAGGGTACAGGATTCCCCATTCCTCCCAACCATAGAAGTCCAAGCAGCCTTCATCATTGTTGAAGGCCGTCTCTCCGCTGGCACCACTGCAACGCCCTTCCCTTCCCTTCCCTTCCCTTCTCCCTCTCCCCCCTGTGTGTGTGTCTCTGTCTCCCCCTCTCCCTGCCTTCACTCTAACCAGGGTCTTAGATTCCCCGTCTCTCCCAACGATCGAGGTCCAAGCAGCCTTCATCATCGTTCAAGGCCGTCTCTCCGCTGGCACCACTGCAACGCCCTTCACCCGTCTCGCTCTCTTCACCCTCCTCCCCTCCAAATCGCGTGCCAACTACTCTCTTACCGACCTTGCACCAGCCGACCCCCTGAACCCAAGGAACCTGGGTCACAAGGCGTTCATCGTGGTACGTTGCTGCTTCTCCCTTCCTTATCATCCCTTCTCTCCCTCCTGTGTGCTGCTGTCAACTTCAGTCTCACCGACTTGCACCAGCCGACCCCCTGAACCCAAGGAACCTGGGTCACAAGGCGTTCATCGTGGTACGTTGCTGCTTCTCCCTTCCTTATCATCCCTTCTCTCCCTCCTGTGTGCTGCTGTCAACTTCAGTCTCACCGACTTGCACCAGCCGACCCCCTGAACCCAAGGAACCTGGGTCACAAGGCGTTCATCGTGGTACGTTGCTGCTTCTCCCTTCCTTATCATCCCTTCTCTCCCTCCTGTGTGCTGCTGTCAACTTCAGTCTCACCGACTTTTCCTCCTCTCTCCTTTCTCGTCTTCTCTCTATCTCTCCTTGTGCTTGGGGGGCGCTCCCTCCTTTCATCCCTTCAGCCGACTCGCTCTCTTCACCCTCCTCCCCTCCCCCTCTCGCGCCAACTTCACTCTCTCTCACTGCATGCACTGACCTTCCACCAGCCGACCCTCGGAACCTTCACTGCCTCCTCTCCCCATCTTTGAGTCGACTCAAAAATAGCCTCGGAACCTTCACTGCCCCCTCTCCCCCTCTCCCCATCTCTCCCCTCCCTCCTCCTAAAACCAGGTGGGAGGGGCAGTGCACCTACATGGCATGCCCGGTCCCTCCTCTGCCCCTGCGTGGGTGCGCCTGGCAAGGACAGCGGCACCCGGGGGTTAAATTCGTGGTGGTGGATGGCGATGCCACTTACTCACTGCCTCATATTCCCCCCCATCTCTATCCTCTCCCTCAGTGCTACAGGTGGGAGGGTCAGTCAGTGGATCTCCATAGAATGCCTGGATCCTCCTCTGCGCCTGCGCGGGTGCGCCTTGCAAGGACAGTGCCTCCCGGGGATAAATTCGTGGTGGTGGCTGTTGCACAGGGATAACTTCCTTCCTGGTGGATGGCGATGGTGATGTCACTCAGTGGCCTGCGTTTGTTCCTCTCTGTCTTATTTCCTCTGCCATTCCTGTTCCCTCCCCCTCCCTCCCTAACCAGGTGGGAGGGGCAGTGGACTTACGCGGCATGCCTGGGTCCTCCTCTGCCCCTGCGTGGGTGCGCCTGGCACGGGCAGTGGCTGGTGATGGTGATAGCACAGTAGCACACTCTAACCTCTGTTTGTTCCTCTCCCCCTCCCTTCCCCTACAACCAGGTGGGAGGGGCAGTGGACTTACACGGCATGCCTGGGTCCTCCTCTGCCCCTGCGTGGGTGCGCCTGGCACGGGCAGTGGCACCCGGGGATAAGTTCCTGGTGGTGGACGGCGATGTCACTCAGTGGCCTGTATTGTTCCTCTCTGTCATTCTGTCCTCTGTCTCTGCACCAGGTGGGAGGAGCCGTGGATCTGCATGGTATGCCCGGCTCCTCCTCTGCCCCTGCGTGGGTGCGCCTGGCAAGGACAGTGGCACCCGGGGATAAGTTTGTGGTGGTGGACGGCGATGTTACTCGGTGGCCGGTCGGCGGCACTGTAGCGGTTGCGTCCACTAGTGCGAACATGAACGAGGCCGAGACCGGGGTGATTACTTACGGTGAGTGGGATAGTAACGAGTGGGCTTATAGTAGTGAGTGGTCTTATAGTACTGAGTGGGCTTATAACGAGTGTTGAGTGTACATTGATAGCATTTGCATCCACCAGTGCGATGCGAACATGAACGAGGCCGAGACCGGGGTGATTTTTGAGACGTCTCTAAAGTGGGGTGATGACACTCTGCCTATGCTTTGTACGTTGGTGCTATTCGTAACCATACCTTTCTACTCCTTATTTCTCCTATTTTTTGTCTTCTTTTCTTTTTTCTTTTTTCACACACAGTTGTTTGCTCCTTTGCTGTCAGGTGGGGGCTTTTATATCGAATCGGCAAAGCACCTTTTGCTTGTGGCATCTATTTCAATTTCGCGAGGCCCCTTCCAAATGCCTCCGTTTCTATTTTTCTTTCTTTCACTTTCCCCCTTTTTACTATCACAGTTGCTCCTATGCCGTCAGGCGTGGGCTTCTATATCGGACTGGCCAAGCCCCTTAGGTTCCGACATGAGGGTAATCTTCAAGGCACCCCTGATGGAGTCGGGGGTACTGTGGATATACGAGGGGAAGTTGCCCTTTTGACTCGGAATATCATCATCCGGGGGTATAAGGAGAAAGCACCCTACGACACAGATGGTAAGCAAGCAAGCAGTAATTTTTGTAGCGCAGGCAGTCAGTCTCTTCGTGCGGTCATTCTTGCTTCTCGATTGGCGAGCACCTAAGCTGGGGCGTCTAGTTTTGATTGAGGCGCCTCAAAGCTAGACCCAAAACTAGTGTTGAGGCGCCTCAATACTGTCATTTTTTTGTAGCGCAGGCAGGCAGTCAGTCTCTTCGTGCAGTCGTTCTTGCTTATCGATTGGCGAGCACCTAAGCTGGGGCGTTACCACGTGCACTCCATCACCCCCTCCCTTGCTGACTTTTGAGTCGATTCAAAAGCCGTGGCGTTACCACGTGCACTCCATCACCCCCTTCCTTGCTGACTTTTGAGTCGATTCAAAAGCCGTGGCGTTACCACGTGCACTCCATCACCCCCTTCCTTGCTGACTTTTGAGTCGATTCAAAAGCCGTGGCGTTACCACGTGCACTCCATCACCCCCTCTCTTGCTGACTTTTGAGTCGACTCAAAAGCCGTGGCGTTACCACGTGCACTCCATCACCCCCTCCCTTGCTGACTTTTGAGTCGATTCAAAAGCCGTGGCGTTACCACGTGCACTCCATCACCCCCTCTCTTGCTGACTTTTGAGTCGATTCAAAAGCCGTGGCGTTACCACGTCCACTCCATCACCCCCTCCCTTGCTGACTTTTGAGTCGACTCAAAAGCCGTGGCGTTACCACGTGCACTCCATCACCCCCTCCCTTGCTGACTTTTGAGTCGATTCAAAAGCCGTGGCGTTACCACGTGCACTCCATCACCCCCTCTCTTGCTGACTTTTGAGTCGACTCAAAAGCCGTGGCGTTACCACGTGCACTCCATCACCCCCTCTCTTGCTGACTTTTGAGTCGACTCAAAAGCCGTGGCGTTACCACGTGCACTCCATCACCCCCTCCCTTGCTGACTTTTGAGTCGACTCAAAAGCCGTGGCGTTACCACGTGCACTCCATCGCCCCCTTCCTTGCTGACTTTTGAGTCGATTCAAAAGCCGTGGCGTTACCACGTGCACTCCATCACCCCCTCTCTTGCTGACTTTTGAGTCGACTCAAAAGCCGTGGCGTTACCACGTGCACTCCATCACCCCCTCCCTTGCTGACTTTTGAGTCGATTCAAAAGCCGTGGCGTTACCACGTGCACTCCATCACCCCCTCTCTTGCTGACTTTTGAGTCGACTCAAAAGCCGTGGCGTTACCACGTGCACTCCATCACCCCCTCCCTTGCTGACTTTTGAGTCGATTCAAAAGCCGTGGCGTTACCACGTGCACTCCATCACCCCCTTCCTTGCTGACTTTTGAGTCGATTCAAAAGCCGTGGCGTTACCACGTGCACTCCATCACCCCCTTCCTTGCTGACTTTTGAGTCGATTCAAAAGCCGTGGCGTTACCACGTGCACTCCATCACCCCCTCTCTTGCTGACTTTTGAGTCGACTCAAAAGCCGTGGCGTTACCACGTGCACTCCATCACCCCCTCCCTTGCTGACTTTTGAGTCGATTCAAAAGCCGTGGCGTTACCACGTGCACTCCATCACCCCCTCTCTTGCTGACTTTTGAGTCGACTCAAAAGCCGTGGCGTTACCACGTGCACTCCATCACCCCCTCCCTTGCTGACTTTTGAGTCGACTCAAAAGCCGTGGCGTTACCACGTGCACTCCATCACCCCCTCCCTTGCTGACTTTTGAGTCGACTCAAAAGCCGTGGCGTTACCACGTGCACTCCATCACCCCCTCCCTTGCTGACTTATGAGTCGACTCAAAAGCCGTGGCGTTACCACGTGCACTCCATCACCCCCTCCCTTGCTGACTTTTGAGTCGACTCAAAAGCCGTGGCGTTACCACGTGCACTCCATCACCCCCTCCCTTGCTGACTTTTGAGTCGACTCAAAAGCCGTGGCGTTACCACGTGCACTCCATCACCCCCTCCCTTGCTGACTTTTGAGTCGACTCAAAAGCCGTGGCGTTACCACATGCACTCCATCACCCCCTCCCTTGCTGACTTTTGAGTCGACTCAAAAGCCGTGGCGTTACCACGTGCACTCCATCACCCCCTCCCTTGCTGACTTTTGAGTCGACTCAAAAGCCGTGGCGTTACCACGTGCACTCCATCACCCCCTCCCTTGCTGACTTATGAGTCGACTCAAAAGCCGTGGCGTTACCACGTGCACTCCATCACCCCCTCCCTTGCTGACTTTTGAGTCGACTCAAAAGCCGTGGCGTTACCACGTGCACTCCATCACCCCCTCCCTTGCTGACTTTTGAGTCGACTCAAAAGCCGTGGCGTTACCACGTGCACTCCATCACCCCCTCCCTTGCTGACTTTTGAGTCGACTCAAAAGCCGTGGCGTTACCACGTGCACTCCATCACCCCCTCCCTTGCTGACTTTTGAGTCGACTCAAAAGCCGTGGCGTTACCACGTGCACTCCATCACCCCCTCCCTTGCTGACTTTTGAGTCGACTCAAAAGCCGTGGCGTTACCACGTGCACTCCATCACCCCCTCTCTTGCTGACTTTTGAGTCGACTCAAAAGCCGTGGCGTTACCACGTGCACTCCATCACCCCCTCCCTTGCTGACTTTTGAGTCGACTCAAAAGCCGTGGCGTTACCACGTGCACTCCATCACCCCCTCTCTTGCTGACTTTTGAGTCGACTCAAAAGCCGTGGCGTTACCACGTGCACTCCATCACCCCCTCCCTTGCTTATCAATCCCGTCTTCTCCTTCCGTCCCCCCTCTACAGGCGGTCGCTTCATGGTGTTTATGACGAAAACACCGCAATTTATTAAAGGGGTTCAGTTCCTGGGGCTTGGCAATCAGGGCATGCTGGGTGGGTCGTCTTGGGCTGGGGTACTAAGTCCACTCCCTTTCATCCTCCCCTCCACCTCTCTTCCTCCTCTCCTCTCCCTTTCCTTATCTCGCAACCCCCCTCACAGGCGGTCACTTCATGGTGTTCATGACAAAAACGCCGCAATTCATCGAGGGGGTTCAGTTCCTGGGGCTGGGCAACCAAGGCGTGCTGGGGCGCTACCCCCTGCACTTCCACATCTGTGGCGACAACAACCAGGCGCATGTGGTCAGGAAGAACGTGATTGCAGCGAGCAACCAGGTGTGTGTGTGGCTGCACCTCTCTCTGTGTTTAGGCATGCTCGGCTGGGCCGCTACCCCCTGCACTTCCACATTTGCGGCGACAACAACCAGGCGCATGTGGTCAGGAAGAACGTGATTGCCGCGAGCAACCAGGTGCGTGGAGGCAGTCGGTTTGAATTTTGAGAATTCTCAAAAACATACACAGCAACATACACAGCAACATACACAGCAACCAACCAGGTGTGTGGAGGCAGTAGGTATGAGGATGCCCCCTGCCTGAGCTACCCTCTGCATGCTGGGGCGCCACCCCGTGGCTGCATTTTGAGAATTCGCTTTTGAGAATTCTCAAAAACGCTACCCGCTGCATGCTGGTGCGCCACCCTGTGGCTGCACTTCCACATCTGCGGAGACACCAACCAGGCGCACGTGGTTAGGAAGAATGTGATTGCTGCAATGCAAGCAACCAGGTATGACAGGGGTGGTTCTCTCATCGAAACCAAGGGCCGCTGCTTCTTGTGTCTCTGTAACTCCTATTGAACTTACCCACCCAACCACCCCCTCGCCACCCCCCCCCTCCCCCTTCCACTGATTTCCTTTGCAGCGTTGCGTGGTTGTCCACGCCACCTCGGATCTGACTGTAGAGGAGAATGTGGCATACGAGACCAAGGGGCACTGCTTTATCACGGAGGAGGGCAGCGAGTTTAACAACGTGTTCAAACGCAACCTGGGGATCAACATCCGCGGAGGTGAGGCGCGGTTGAGAGGGTTGAGGCTTGGCTGTGAGACCAAGGGGCACTGCTTTATCACGGAGGAGGGCAGCGTGTATAACAACGTGTTCAAACGCAACCTGGGGATCAACATCCGCGGAGGTGAGGGTTAGTGGTGGTGTAGTGCGGTTGAGAAGAGTGAGCGCTGCTTCTGTTGACCAAGGGGTAATGCTTTATCACAGAGTAGGGCAAGGTGATCCCTCCTGAAACTAGTGACCGCCTGGACAGGCAGACGGACAACCAGCCCACCACGTTCTGGATGGCCATTCCTCGTTCTCTCCCTCCGCTCCCCCCACTTCCCCCCTTCCTACCCCTCACCCCCCACCCTTTCCCCCCCTTCACCAGTGCGCAAGGTGATCCCTCCTGAAACTAGTGACCGCCTGGACAGGCAGACGGACAACCAGCCCACCACGTTGTGGATGGCCAACCCTTTCGAGCCTTCAACCCTTTCGAGCCTTCAACCCTTTCGAGCCTTCAACCCTTTCGAGCCTTCAACCCTTTCGAGCCTTCAACCCTTTCGAGCCTTCAACCCTTTCGAGCCTTCAACCCTTTCGAGCCTTCAACCCTTTCGAGCCTTCAACCCTTTCGAGCCTTCAACCCTTTCGAGCCTTCAACCCTTTCGAGCCTTCAACCCTTTCGAGCCTTCAACCCTTTCGAGCCTTCAACCCTTTCGAGCCTTCAACCCTTTCGAGCCTTCAACCCTTTCGAGCCTTCAACCCTTTCGAGCCTTCAACCCTTTCGAGCCTTCAACCCTTTCGAGCCTTCAACCCTTTCGAGCCTTCAACCCTTTCGAGCCTTCAACCCTTTCGAGCCTTCAACCCTTTCGAGCCTTCAACCCTTTCGAGCCTTCAACCCTTTCGAGCCTTCAACCCTTTCGAGCCTTCAACCCTTTCGAGCCTTCAACCCTTTCGAGCCTTCAACCCTTTCGAGCCTTCAACCCTTTCGAGCCTTCAACCCTTTCGAGCCTTCAACCCTTTCGAGCCTTCAACCCTTTCGAGCCTTCAACCCTTTCGAGCCTTCAACCCTTTCGAGCCTTCAACCCTTTCGAGCCTTCAACCCTTTCGAGCCTTCAACCCTTTCGAGCCTTCAACCCTTTCGAGCCTTCAACCCTTTCGAGCCTTCAACCCTTTCGAGCCTTCAACCCTTTCGAGCCTTCAACCCTTTCGAGCCTTCAACCCTTTCGAGCCTTCAACCCTTTCGAGCCTTCAACCCTTTCGAGCCTTCAACCCTTTCGAGCCTTCAACCCTTTCGAGCCTTCAACCCTTTCGAGCCTTCAACCCTTTCGAGCCTTCAACCCTTTCGAGCCTTCAACCCTTTCGAGCCTTCAACCCTTTCGAGCCTTCAACCCTTTCGAGCCTTCAACCCTTTCGAGCCTTCAACCCTTTCGAGCCTTCAACCCTTTCGAGCCTTCAACCCTTTCGAGCCTTCAACCCTTTCGAGCCTTCAACCCTTTCGAGCCTTCAACCCTTTCGAGCCTTCAACCCTTTCGAGCCTTCAACCCTTTCGAGCCTTCAACCCTTTCGAGCCTTCAACCCTTTCGAGCCTTCAACCCTTTCGAGCCTTCAACCCTTTCGAGCCTTCAACCCTTTCGAGCCTTCAACCCTTTCGAGCCTTCAACCCTTTCGAGCCTTCAACCCTTTCGAGCCTTCAACCCTTTCGAGCCTTCAACCCTTTCGAGCCTTCAACCCTTTCGAGCCTTCAACCCTTTCGAGCCTTCAACCCTTTCGAGCCTTCAACCCTTTCGAGCCTTCAACCCTTTCGAGCCTTCAACCCTTTCGAGCCTTCAACCCTTTCGAGCCTTCAACCCTTTCGAGCCTTCAACCCTTTCGAGCCTTCAACCCTTTCGAGCCTTCAACCCTTTCGAGCCTTCAACCCTTTCGAGCCTTCAACCCTTTCGAGCCTTCAACCCTTTCGAGCCTTCAACCCTTTCGAGCCTTCAACCCTTTCGAGCCTTCAACCCTTTCGAGCCTTCAACCCTTTCGAGCCTTCAACCCTTTCGAGCCTTCAACCCTTTCGAGCCTTCAACCCTTTCGAGCCTTCAACCCTTTCGAGCCTTCAACCCTTTCGAGCCTTCAACCCTTTCGAGCCTTCAACCCTTTCGAGCCTTCAACCCTTTCGAGCCTTCAACCCTTTCGAGCCTTCAACCCTTTCGAGCCTTCAACCCTTTCGAGCCTTCAACCCTTTCGAGCCTTCAACCCTTTCGAGCCTTCAACCCTTTCGAGCCTTCAACCCTTTCGAGCCTTCAACCCTTTCGAGCCTTCAACCCTTTCGAGCCTTCAACCCTTTCGAGCCTTCAACCCTTTCGAGCCTTCAACCCTTTCGAGCCTTCAACCCTTTCGAGCCTTCAACCCTTTCGAGCCTTCAACCCTTTCGAGCCTTCAACCCTTTCGAGCCTTCAACCCTTTCGAGCCTTCAACCCTTTCGAGCCTTCAACCCTTTCGAGCCTTCAACCCTTTCGAGCCTTCAACCCTTTCGAGCCTTCAACCCTTTCGAGCCTTCAACCCTTTCGAGCCTTCAACCCTTTCGAGCCTTCAACCCTTTCGAGCCTTCAACCCTTTCGAGCCTTCAACCCTTTCGAGCCTTCAACCCTTTCGAGCCTTCAACCCTTTCGAGCCTTCAACCCTTTCGAGCCTTCAACCCTTTCGAGCCTTCAACCCTTTCGAGCCTTCAACCCTTTCGAGCCTTCAACCCTTTCGAGCCTTCAACCCTTTCGAGCCTTCAACCCTTTCGAGCCTTCAACCCTTTCGAGCCTTCAACCCTTTCGAGCCTTCAACCCTTTCGAGCCTTCAACCCTTTCGAGCCTTCAACCCTTTCGAGCCTTCAACCCTTTCGAGCCTTCAACCCTTTCGAGCCTTCAACCCTTTCGAGCCTTCAACCCTTTCGAGCCTTCAACCCTTTCGAGCCTTCAACCCTTTCGAGCCTTCAACCCTTTCGAGCCTTCAACCCTTTCGAGCCTTCAACCCTTTCGAGCCTTCAACCCTTTCGAGCCTTCAACCCTTTCGAGCCTTCAACCCTTTCGAGCCTTCAACCCTTTCGAGCCTTCAACCCTTTCGAGCCTTCAACCCTTTCGAGCCTTCAACCCTTTCGAGCCTTCAACCCTTTCGAGCCTTCAACCCTTTCGAGCCTTCAACCCTTTCGAGCCTTCAACCCTTTCGAGCCTTCAACCCTTTCGAGCCTTCAACCCTTTCGAGCCTTCAACCCTTTCGAGCCTTCAACCCTTTCGAGCCTTCAACCCTTTCGAGCCTTCAACCCTTTCGAGCCTTCAACCCTTTCGAGCCTTCAACCCTTTCGAGCCTTCAACCCTTTCGAGCCTTCAACCCTTTCGAGCCTTCAACCCTTTCGAGCCTTCAACCCTTTCGAGCCTTCAACCCTTTCGAGCCTTCAACCCTTTCGAGCCTTCAACCCTTTCGAGCCTTCAACCCTTTCGAGCCTTCAACCCTTTCCCCTTTCCTATCCCACTCTCTCTGTCGCCCCTCCAGTGCGCAAGGTGATTCCTCCCGAGACCTCAGACCGATTGGACAGGCAGACGGACAACCAGCCCACCACCTTCTGGATGGCCAGCCCTCGGAATGATTTAATCGGCAACGTGGCGGCTGGATGTGACAATACAGGGTGGGTCATTTGTGACTGTAATGGGTAGTTATGGGTGTGAGTGTACAGGATGGCATGCAGACGGACAACCAGGCCACCACGTTTTGGATGGCCAGCCCTCGGAATGACCTCATTGGGAACGTGGCGGCTGGATGTGACTATACAGGGTGGGTCATTTGTGACTGTAATGGGTAGTTATGGGTGTGAGTGTACAGGATGGCATGCAGACGGACAACCAGGCCACCACGTTTTGGATGGCCAGCCCGCGGAATGACCTCATTGGGAACGTGGCGGCTGGATGTGACAATACAGGGTGGGTCGTTTGCGACTGTACGGGGTGGGTGGGTGGGGTGACTGTATAGGGAGACAGGCAGAATGTATAGGAAGGCAAGCAGAATATATAGGGAGGCAGGCAGACGGACAACCAGGCCACTACCTTCTGGATGGCCAGCCCTCGCAGTGACCTTATCGGCAACGTGGCGGCTGGATGTGACAACACAGGGTGGGTGTGACAATACAGGGTGGGTGAGTGTGACTGAATGAGATGCCAGTTGTCCTTATCTAGGGTGAGTGCTTTTGTGCGTATGTCAGAGCTCGGATGTGACAATACAGGGTGGTGTGACAATACAGGGTGATCTGACAGTACAGGACAGGGTGTGTGACAATAGTGAGCTTGGAGGCCTAGAGTGTCTCCCTCCCTCTCTCCTACCACCATCCATTCGGCTTCCGTGTTCCTAGAGTAATTCTGACTTGAGTAATTCTGACTTGAGTAATTCTGACTCGAGTAATTCTGACTTGAGTAATTCCGTGTTCCATTTTATCTCTCCCCCTGCCCCTCCAATCCCACCGACCCTCCTTATCCCCTTATTCGTTTCCTAACCCCTCCTCCACCCACCAGCTTCTGGTACAAGATGCTCGCTAGAATGAGAGGGGCCTTGAAAAGACTCGACCTGGGCGACACCCCCATGCCCTTCTTCGGCTCGCACCACGCCCTGCCCGCCTTCCTCTCCCCATGATTCGTGTCCTAACCCCTCCGCAACTCCCCTACCAACGGCCCTCCTCCCCCTTCCCCCACCACCAGCTTCTGGTATGAGATGCTGGCGCGCATGAGAGGGGCCTCCAAGAGGCTTGACCTGGGCGACACCCCCATGCCCTTCTTTGACTCTGCTATGCCCATGCCCTCCCCAACTCCTCTACCTCTCTTCCCTCCTCCCCCTTCACCCCCCCCCCCCCCCAACCAGCTTATGGTATGAGATGCTGGCGCGCATGAGGGGGGCCTCCATGAGGCTTGACCTGGGCGACACCCCCATGCCCTTCTTTGACTCTGCTATGCCCATGCCCTCCCCAACTCCTCTACCTCTCTTCCCTCCTCCCCCTTCACCCCCCCCCCCCCCCCAACCAGCTTATGGTATGAGATGCTGGCGCGCATGAGGGGGGCCTCCATGAGGCTTGACCTGGGCGACACCCCCATGCCCTTCTTTGACTCTGCTATGCCCATGCCCTCCCCAACTCCTCTACCTCTCTTCCCTCCTCCCCCTTCACCCCCCCCCCCCCCAACCAGCTTATGGTATGAGATGCTGGCGCGCATGAGGGGGGCCTCCAAGAGGCTTGACCTGGGCGACACCTTTATGCCAGCCCCCTCCCCTCAGTCCTTGCCGATCTCCCTTCTCTCCTCCCCCCACCAGCTTCTGGTACGAAATGCTGGCGCGCATGAGAGGGGCCTCCAAAAGGCTTGATCTGGGCGACACCCCCATGCCCTTCTTTGACTCGTTCGGTCGGTTTGATGGCAACGTGGCTCACTCCTGCAAGGCGGGCGTGCGCATGTATCCCCATGGGAACAGGCCCCCCAAGGAGGTGAGAGGGATGCAGTGTGGTACAGTGAGGTTTTGATGCTGTTGATTTGACGGGAACGTGGCTCACTCCTGCAAGGTGGGCGTTCGCATGTATCCCCACGAGAATCGACCCTCCAAGGAGGTGAGTGCGAGGCGAGGCAGTGCAGCGCAATGTGGTGCACTGGAGTGCGGTGCGGTGGAACGTGGTTTGATGCGGTTGACTTCACTGAGTATAACTGCCAGTTTGATGTCAACGTCGCTCATTCGTGCATGGTGGGTGTGCGAGCGCATGTACCCTTACAGGAATTGGAGTGACTTTTGAGAATTCTCAAAAGTCACTCCAATATGTGGGTGTGCGAGCGCATGTATCCCTACGGGAATTGGAGTGACTTTTGAGAATTCTCAAAAGTCACTCCAATATGTGGGTGTGCGAGCACATGTATCCTTACGGGAATTGGAGTGACTTTTGAGAATTCTCAAAAGTCACTCCAATATGTGGGTGTGCGAGCGCATGTATCCTTACAGGAATTGGCCCCCCAAGGAGGTGAGTGCACGATGCAGTACGGTACCGAGTGGTGGAATGTGTTTGAGTGGTTGGATGCAGTTGAATGCGGCTCACTACAGCTACTGCATGTGAGCCGCATTGCTGGCGGATGGTGAATCTGCGTGTTTTTTCCCCTTTTGAGTCGACCCAAAAGGAGCCTTATCGCTGGCGGATGATATATCTGCGTTTTTTCCCCAACAGTTAATCGTCCGCACTCCATGACTCTCTCCATCTGTCCTCCTTGTCCTTTCTTGCCTGCCCCCCCCCTTGACAGGCTGTCTTTACCAACCTGCTGGTTTACCAGAGCCGGCTCGGGTACGTGTCTTCTTGTTGTTTTGAATCTGTTTCGGATTGGGTGGGATCGAATGCTGCTGCCCTCCTGACCATTCCACTCCTCCCTCTCCCTTTTCGTTGCTGGCCTCTGCTTCCATTCTGGTCTCCATGCACACCACTTAGACTTTCGTTCTTGAGTCGACTCGAAAGTCATTTCGTTGCAGGCCTCTGCTCCCTCGCTCCCTCTGCTCCCTCTGCCGGCCTCTGCTTCCATTTTCGTCTCCATGCACACCACTTTGACTTTCGTTCATTCCCCTTGCCTCACCACTCCCAAGGTAACTTTTTAGTCGACTCAAAAGTCATTTCGTTGCAGGCCTCTGCTCCCTCGCTCCCTCTGCTCCCTCTGCCGGCCTCTGTTTCCATTTTCGTCTCCATGCACACCACTTTGACTTTCGTTCATTCCCCTTGCCGCACCGCTCCCCACCCACCCCTCCCACCCACCCATCCACAACACACCCCACCGCACCCAACTCTTTTCCGTTCCATCTCGCAACATTCTCTGCTGCTGCAGCAGGAACGCCACCATCCGGGACTCGGCGTTCGTCAACATGGCAGTGGGATGGGAATCTTATTGCCCAAGCCTTCCACCTCACTCTGTTTCACCTCTTTCCACTTCTCTCCACCCTGCTCCACCGCACTACACCCCATTCGATCCCACCCAATCCTCGCAGCATCCTTTTCCATCGCTCCAGGGACACCACCATTCGGGACTCGGCGTTTGTCGATGTGGCGGTGGGGATCGGCAGCGATGTGAACGTTGACATCAAAGTGCAGAACTCGCGATTCGTGGGACGCACACAAGCTTGCACGTGAGTGGTGTTTCATGGTGAACTTGTGTGTGCGGAGAGCAATCAGGTAGAGAGCAGCGACGTGAACGTTGACATCAAAGTGCAGAACTCGCGATTCATGGGACGCACACAGGCATGCGTGTGAGTGTGTGTTGGTTGGTTTGGTTGGTTGGTGCTACGATCTGCTTGTAGTCATGCATCCCACCCAGCCAGTGGTGGGCATCGGCAGTGACGTGAAGGTTGATATCAAAGTGCAGAACTCGCGATTCGTGGGACGCACACAAGCTTGCACGTGAGTGGCTAATGAATCACGTGCAAAGCAAGGCACCCATACATGTAACACATGTGCATGCTACATGGAATCAGCAGCGACGTGAATGTGGATATCAAAGTGCAGAACTCAACATTCGTCGGCCGCACACAGGCATGCGCGTGAGTGGGGCTTGATATATCCATGCGCGTGAGTGGGGCTTGATATATCCATGCGCGTGACTGCTGTTTCACCTCTCTTGCAATGCCTGTTCGCGTGCCATCACACCACATCACATCACATCACATCACATCACATCACATCACATCACATCACATCACATCACATCACATCACATCACATCACATCACACCAAGTGATGTGAATGTGGACATCGGAGTCCAGATCTCCCCCACCTTGTGCTTCTTGCCCTCTGCTCTTCTCGTCCTGCCGTCCCTCCACAGCTCACCAGCCAGAACAGCCTCAAGATCTGCGTCAACCAAGGCGCTTTCTGCAGCAGCATCAGCTTCTGGATCTCTTCCCATGTCCGTTTCTGCCCAGGCTATGGGCACCGAATCTGCTCCTGTTGATGATGCCTCAGCTGCTGCTGCCGATGCCAGCACCAGCACAGGCGCTTCTATTTTCCCCAGCCAACCAACGGCCTCTGCAGCTGCTCAGGAGTCTGTTTCATCGCAGCTGCTCCGGTTCTATCTCAACCCGGGAGGCCTTGTGGCAGAAAGCGCAGCGTCTACTAACGAGGATGTTTTCAACCAGGGAAGCAGCATCAGGGGTAGTGAGAGCATCACTACCACCACCACTGCAGCTGCCACCACTGCTGCCACTGCTGCTACCACCACCACTGCCAATAACCTTTTCACCATCCAGAACCTTCCAACCGATACCCCCTCCACCACCCTCGCCTCTTCAACCCTCGACTCTTCAACCCAAGGCAATCCTTCCAATCCTCCCACTGACGGCTATCCCACTCCCATCGCCACCAACCCCACTTCAAACCCTCCGACCGTTTCAGACAGCCCTGAAACCCCTCTCGGCCCCTCATCTGATCCCTTGTTTGCAAAAGAGCTGAATTACTGGCAAGATGAAGAAGTAGCATCTATATTCTCATCTCTTTCCCGAGCCTCGCTGCCCCAGCTTCCCAAAGCTACCCTCTCGCGCATCGCCCAGCTTCGGAACAGGCTCGGGCTGTCTAGGTTTGGGCACAGGCTCGGAAAGGGGCTTGGGAACAAGCTCGGAAAGTGGCTGCGAGGTTCGGCAGAAGGGGGTAACGGGGCGGGGAACAGCAGCAGCGTTGAGTTGAACAGTGTTGCGAGCGTGCGGGCGGCGGTGGTGTCTTTTAGGTTCGGGACGTTTGAGTCGCCGGTCGGCATCGCGCTGAGTCAGCAGCATTGGATGGACCCTTCCGGCAGCGCCAAGATCTCAGGATGCTCGTAAGTGGAGTGAAGTGAAGAATGAGGTGCATGGACTGTTGTATAGTTTCGCTTAGAGGGCTTCACTGTATTGAGTCAGCAGCATTGGATGGTCCCAGCTGGCAGCTTCAAGATCTCAGGATGATCGTAAGTGGAGTGAAGTGAAGTGAAGAATGAGGTGCATGAACTGTTGTATAGTTGCGCTTAGAGGGTTGCACTCTATTGAGTCAGCAGCATTGGATGGACCCTTCAGGCAGCGCCAAGATCTCAGGATTCTCGTAAGTGGAGAATGAGTAAATTGATACAATCAACCACGCCAGCCCTGCCATACTGCCTAAAAATCATCTCATTCCCCTCAATCCATCCCCCCCACACCCTCTCCTCCTCCTCCCCCTTCCCTTCTCCTCCCCTCCTCCCCTCAGGTTCACCCAGTATGCCACATGCAACCTGGCCAGCCCTGCCATCGTGGCGCAAGCAGCCCTGCCCTTTCACAAGCCAACTCAAATGCCCCTTCTCTTCTCTGCATCCCCACCTTCATCCCTCTCCCCTTCTCCCCTCAGTTTCACACAGTACACCATGTGCTGTGAACCATGTGCTGTGCAACCCTGCCAGTCCTGCCATCGTGCTGCAGTGCTCTCACTGCTCCCGGTGTGTTTTGAGTCGACTCAAAATGCCCCGGTGTGTTTTGAGTCGACTCAAAATGCCCCGGTGTGTTTTGAGTCGACTCAAAATGCCCCGGTGTGTTTTGAGTCGACTCAAAATGCCCCGGTGTGTTTTATTATTCTCCCTCCCCCCATTATTCTCCCTCCCCCCATTATTCTCCCTCCCCCCGTTATTCTCCCTCCCCCCGTTATTCTCCCTCCCCCCATTATTCTCCCTCCCCCCGTTATTCTCCCTCCCCCCGTTATTCTCCCTCCCCCCGTTATTCTCTCCCCCCGTTATTCTCCCCCCCCCGTTATTCTCCCTCCCCCGTTATTCTCCCTCCCCCCGTTATTCTCCCTCCCCCCGTTATTCTCCCCCCCCCGTTATTCTCCCTCCCCCCGTTATTCTCCCTCCCCCCGTTATTCTCCCTCCCCCCGTTATTCTCCCTCCCCCCATTATTCTCCCTCCCCCCGTTATTCTCCCTCCCCCCGTTATTCTCCCTCCCCCCGTTATTCTCCCTCCCCCCGTTATTCTCCCTCCCCCCGTTATTCTCCCTCCCCCCGTTATTCTCCCTCCCCCCGTTATTCTCCCTCCCCCCGTTATTCTCCCTCCCCCCGTTATTCTCCCTCCCCCCATTATTCTCCCTCCCCCCGTTATTCTCCCTCCCCCCGTTATTCTCCCTCCCCCCATTATTCTCCCTCCCCCCGTTATTCTCCCTCCCCCCGTTATTCTCCCTCCCCCCGTTATTCTCCCTCCCCCCGTTATTCTCCCTCCCCCCGTTATTCTCCCTCCCCCCGTTATTCTCCCTCCCCCCGTTATTCTCCCTCCCCCCGTTATTCTCCCTCCCCCCGTTATTCTCCCTCCCCCGTTATTCTCCCTCCCCCCGTTATTCTCCCTCCCCCCATTATTCTCCCTCCCCCCGTTATTCTCCCTCCCCCCATTATTCTCCCTCCCCCCGTTATCAAGGTTAAAAAAAACGTCGTTTTTTTGACAATTTACCGTAAAAAACGGTACCGTAAAATACGGACCGTAGAAAACGGTAAAAAACGGTTCCAGAAGGTGATTTTCGTTGAAAGAAAAAATTGGCAATTTTATGTGACCAATTTGATGGCGAAAATCACCAGGATGAAGAGGAGGAACCCCTCCTTGCATGTGTGCATGCGTCGGCATGATTGAACATGTATCCGATCTTGTTTTTGCCGTTTTTTCCTTGGTGAAATGAGTTCTCTAACAAAAAAACGTCGTATTTTGAAAATTTATCGTAAAAAACGGACCGTAAAAAACGGATCGTAATTTACGGAAACCGTATTTTTGCACCTTGCCCGTTATTCTCCCTCCCCCCGTTATTCTCCCTCCCCCCGTTATTCTCCCTCCCCCCGTTATTCTCCCTCCCCCCGTTATTCTCCCTCCCCCCGTTATTCTCCCTCCCCCCGTTATTCTCCCTCCCCCCGTTATTCTCCCTCCCCCCGTTATTCTCCCTCCCCCCGTTATTCTCCCTCCCCCCGTTATTCTCCCTCCCCCGTTATTCTCCCTCCCCCCGTTATTCTCCCTCCCCCCGTTATTCTCCCTCCCCCCGTTATTCTCCCTCCCCCCGTTATTCTCCCTCCCCCCGTTATTCTCCCTCCCCCCGTTATTCTCCCTCCCCCCGTTATTCTCAGGTTCACCCAGTATGCCACATGCAACCCGGCTAGCCCTGCCATCGTGGCGCAAGCGACGGTCTTTGGTGGATTCTGGGACACATCCACAGCCACGCAGGTAAGCGGTCTCCCGATATTGATTCCTTGCTTTGTATGGACACAAAGCCTCTTCAAAAGCAGCAGCCAACCCTGCCATCGTGGCGCAAGCAACCGTCTTTGGTGGCTTCTGGGACACATCCACAGCCACTCAGGTACGCACCCTTTCGTAGTGAACATGGTGACTTTTGAGTCGACTCAAAGGCCACAGCTACTCAGGTACGCACCCTTTTGTGGTGAGACCCTTTCGTAAGGACACATTCACCTTAGCGTGTGATCAGACATTCCAGCAAACTGCAGTTCCTAAGGAGAAGGTTTAGCAAAGGAGAAACCTTGGGATTGTCGCACACCTGCGAGACCCTCGGCCTGCCACATCGATGACTCGTCCGCTCCAAGCTGAGAGTCTGCTGCGGCACCACCTTGGAAGGGGTGGTGGCGTGGCGGTTAGAGAGGGGAACACCGCGTGAGGCGGGAAACCAAGCAGCGAAACCCCCCCGCTCCCAGCGGTGGAGGGATAGCGAGGCTGAGTGCGCGACCGAGGTTTCCCTCGCTGGCTTGGGCCACGAGACCATTCACCACCCTAAAAGAAAAAAAACCAAGGCTCCTTCCGCCATCGTTTCACGGAGTTTGTTCCGTTGTCCTAGTACAACACGAGTTGATGGAAGTTAGGCCTTTGCAGCCCACCTGTCCTCTCTTGAAAGCTCAGGTACGCACCCTTTCTTAGTGAACATTCACGTTAGACAACTCAAAATCCACTTCAACTCAAACACCCGCCAACCCTGCTGTTGTGGCGCAAATAACGGTCTTTGAGGCGCCTCAAAATCCACCGCAACTCAAACACCCGCCAACCAACCCTGCCGTTGTGACGCAAATAACGGTCTTGGGGGGTTCCTGGGACACTCCCACAGGACCACAGACAGCCACAGCAATTCTACTGAGTGACTGAGTCCTCCTCCTCGTTCCTTCCTCCTGTGGCTGTGTTTCTTTGCCCCCCTTCCTTTGCCCCCCTTCCTTTGCCCCCCTTCCTTTGCTCCCTTCTCCCCTCCTTCTGGTTCCTCTCAGGGTCTCAAGTTTGATGCAACCACCAGCCGGGTGTACCTGCAGCAAGAAGCGGTGAGTAACAAATCCAATCAGCTTGAGTGTAGGTTCTTCTAGCCTGACAAAAAAACTAATTTTAGAATCCTACCAAGGCCTCGTCTTTAATCTCTAACTTCCTCTCCATTCGAGACATCCTCAAAACCTTCATTGGCGGAAACCTTTCCACCGCCCCCAATCCCTCCCCACCAACCAACCTCCCTCTTCCCTTCCCTTTCTTCCACTCCCCCTTCAGAACCCCACCAACTCCACGTCGCTAGTCTCCAACTTCATGGCCGTTCGAGACATCGACGGAACCCTCATTGGCGGAACCTTCCCCCCAATCCCTTCCTTCTCCGCCCTCCCTCCATCCCTTCTCCGCCCCTCCCCACCCCCTTCTCTTTCTTCCACTCCCCCTTCAGATCCCCACCGAGTCCACGTCGCTAGTCTCCAAGTTCATGGCCGTTAGAGACATCAACGGAACCCTAATTGACGGGACCCTCTTAAAGATTCACCTTCCACTAATCCTTCCCTATTCTTTTCCCTTCCCCTCCGCCCCACTCTCCCCTTCAGAACCCCACCAAGTCCACGTCGCTAGTCTCCAACTTCATGGCCGTTCGAGACATTGACGGGACCCTCATTGGCGGCTCCGGGGGCTTTGCCATCGTGCCCTATCTCGCCAAGGTGGGTCAGAGAGGCCAAGGTGGGCCACATGTTGTGATACTACGTCGTCTCGGCACCATTTCTAGGTGTCATGCCTTTGGCCAAACCGAACCCCAGGCCAACCCCATTGATGGAACCCTCTGGAGGTTTGCCATCGTGCCGTATCTCGCCAAAGGTGGGTCAGAGAGGTTAAAGGACGTCTCAGCACACTTGACCACGTGGTGCCATGTCGTTGCCAGGTCCCTCGTTGGCCGCTCTGGCGGTTTTGCCATTGTGCGCTATCTCGCCAAGGTGGGTCAGATGCTACGGCATAGTCTCAGAGGTGTTACGAAGTGTCATGTCATGGCGGTCATGTCATGGCGGTCATGTCATGGCGGTCATGTCATGGCGGTCATGTCATGGCGGTCATGTCTTTGTTGGCCCAACCAACCGCAGTTGGTGCAGCTCTCATCTCCCTCTATCTATCTCGCCGCCTTTTACGAAAGCTACTGTCGCCGCTGCTGCTGCTGCTTCTGCTGATTCTGCTGTCAAGGGGAGGGAGTTCCCAGTGGGTTTAGCGTAACTGAAACACCTCCCCACCACTCCCCACTCCCCTGGTTTCCCCTCCCATCTAGCCATCTTGCACTGCCGCAGCCAAGCAGAGCAGCCTCAAGGCAGGGGCTCACGTGCCCTCTCTCCCTTTCCACCCCTCTCTATTCCTCCCAATCCAGCCTCCTGCGGCTGTGGCGGCCAAGCAGAGGAGCATATCAGCAGGGAAGCGGCCAGCAGGGCCCCTGTCGGGCTGCCAGTACCGCGACCTCTCGGTGGGGTTCACATGCCCGGGCACCTGCTTCCACTCCTTCTCCGCCACCTATTACGAAACCACCGGCGCTGCTGCTGTGAAGGGGAGCAGCCAGCGGCCGTACAGCTACCTGGTGATCACCAGAGAGGAGGATGGGGCGCAGTTCACGGCTTATGGGTTTCAGAACGACCCCATTCCTGTGATTCCTGCCAAGGCCAGTGTTCGAAGGTGGGTTTTCTGTCTTCTGTTATCTCTCAGTCGTATCTCAGTCATCTCTCAGTTACTGTCCAGTTACCTAGTGTTTGGGTGAGTAGGCACAACTGCTGCTGCTGCGGTGAAGGGCAGCGCCCAGCGGCCATACAGCTACCTGGTGATCACGAGGGAGGAGGACGGGGCGCAGTTCACGGCTTATGGGTTTCAGAACGACCCCATTCCAGTGATTCCTGCCAAGGCCTCTGTTCGCAGGTGGGTTCCCCATCGCAGTTTTGTCTCGGTTACTGCCCAGTTACCAGGTGAATAGGTTGGGTGTGTAGCATCAGGGGTTGCTGCTGCTGCAGTGAAGGGCAGCGCCCAGCACTTGCCATCACCCAGCGGCCGTACAGCTACCTGAAGGTACAGCCATCTGGTGATCATCGTGAAGGGCAGCGCCCAGCGGCCGTACAGCTACCTGAAGGTACAGCCATCTGGTGATCATCGTGAAGGGCAGCGCCCAGCGGCCGTACAGCTACCTGAAGGTACAGCCATCTGGTGATCATCGTGAAGGGCAGCGCCCAGCGGCCGTACAGCTACCTGAAGGTACAGCCATCTGGTGATCATCGTGAAGGGCAGCGCCCAGCGGCCGTACAGCTACCTGAAGGTACAGCCATCTGGTGATCATCGTGAAGGGCAGCGCCCAGCGGCCGTACAGCTACCTGAAGGTACAGCCATCTGGTGATCATCGTGAAGGGCAGCGCCCAGCGGCCGTACAGCTACCTGGTGATCACCAGGGGGGAGGACGGGGCGCAGTTCACGGCTTATGGGTTTCAGAACGACCCCCTGCCTGTCATACCGGCTAAGACCTCTGTTCGGAAATCGGTTTTATGCCCGTAATCTCTCAATTATCTTGGTTGTCCGCACGTCGGCTGCCGGTTGTCTTTCAGTTAGGTGGGCCGCCAGTTGTCAAGTGATCAGGAGGATCAGGTGGGTCTCTCCAGTTCATTTCTCAGGTGGGTCAGGTGGCTCTCTCCAGTTCATTTCTCAGGTGGGTCAGGTGGGTCTCTCCAGTTCATTTCTCAGGTGGGTCAGGTGGGTCTCTCCAGTTCATATCTCAGGTGGGTCAGGTGGGTCTCTCCAGTTCATTTCTCAGGTGGGTCAGGTGGGTCTCTCCAGTACATATCTCAGGTGGGTGAGGTGGGTCTCTCCAGTTCATTTCTCAGGTGGATCAGGTGGGTCTCTCCAGTTCATTTCTCAGGTGGGTGAGGTGGGTCTCTCCAGTTCATGTCTCAGGTGGGTCAGGTGGGTCTCTCCAGTTCATTTCTCAGGTGGGTGAGGTGGGTCTCTCCAGTTCATGTCTCAGGTGGGTCAGGTGGGTCTCTCCAGTTCATTTCTCAGGTGGGTCAGGTGGGTCTCTCCAGTTCATTTCTCAGGTGGGTCAGGTGGGTCTCTCCAGTTCATTTCTCAGGTGGATCTCAGCCACGCTTGAAGCCGGGTTCACACCTACCGTGTGCACCTCGTTTCTGGCCTCTCCCACCAACCGACCTCCCTTGTTTCTCCTCTCTCCCTTTTCCCCCTCTCTCTCCTTCCCTTTCTCTCTCCTTCTCCAACAGGTGGATCTCAGCCACGCTTGAAGCGGGGTTCACCTACCGAGTGCGCGTCGTCGCTCCCCCATCCAACCCGGCCTTCTATCCGGATCGCATTGCAGTACAGTTGCGAGACATGGGGGGTTGTGCGGGGCGAGTGAAGGTTTTGATTGAACCGAAAGACGCTGCCACTAACTGGGTCGCCACCTACAGCCCTCCCACTAGGTGAGCTGCTAGCTCTACGGTCTACCTACTTCCCTGCTCCCCTCTCATCATGTGAGCGGTGCAGCTGAGGGACGTGGGGGGAGTGTGAGGGGCGAGTGAAGGTCTTGATTGAACCCAAGGACGCTGCCACCAACTGGATCGCCACCTACAGCCCTCCCACCAGATGAGCCGCTAGTTCTACCTACTCCGCTGCTCTGCTAGGCAACCCCACCTTGGTGCAGCTGAGGGGCGAGTGAAGGTCTTGTTTGAACCAAAAGATGCAGCCACCAACTGGGTCGCCACCTACAGCCCTCCCACCAGGTGAATTCTATCGTCTAAACTCTTACTTCACTGCTCTCTCCCGTTGCTTGCCTCTCCTCCTCTATCCAGGTTCTCATCAACGGTGCTCGCCCCATCCACCACCAGAGCTACCTCTGCGCCAACACCCACCACTCTTACTCCTATGCTCACTCCCTCTTCCTCTCTTGCTTTCCCTCCTCCTTCACTCAGGTGCTCATCAACGGTGCTCGCCCCATCCACCACCTACCAGAGCTACATTTGCGCCAACAGCCGTCGATTCCTGGCCCTCGATTTTGGCGCCCCGGAACAGTCGTACCAGATGCTTGCAATTGCTCGCTCCACCTCCTGCTCATCTACATCTTGCTAGGTTTTGAGCCGATCCCACTTGTTTTCTGGTCAACGCATGAAGGTGTTTGCTGTTGCTCGCTCCAGCTCATGCTCGTGTTATATATCTACACCATGCCACATTTATTCCACCTGACATTTGCTGTGTCGATCAAGCAGCTAATTTTCATTTATTTCTTTCTGCACGCCTTGAGAAACTCGCTGGTTTCATTGTTTTGTTCATTTGCATGATTCTGAAGCGCTATGGTTGTACTCCAGCTAAAACTTGTGGTTTACAAACTCATTCCATAATTGCCCTGTTTTTGACAGCGGATATATTTATTCTGGGAATGTATGATTAAATTCTGTTGTATTCCACCCAACCGTTCCGATATTATACCGAACTGCATTATATGCAGACTTACAAAGGTGCCATACAGCATCTGCTCGCAACCATGTCCCGTCTGTGGCATCTGCTGGTAAAGACGTGGCCTCATAAGTAACTGCGTAGTTGTACCCAGCTTCGTTGAACCCTAGTGCGGTGTGGTAGCCTCATGAATAACTGCGTGACTGTTATTATGCTCGTAAGGCGATCTGCAGCTGCAATTCTCACTCAGTCTTTATAAGGGAAGTGCTGCGTCGTGCTGCGGCTCTATTCAGTTCTTTTTGAAACTTTTTTTCCGCTTCGTCATCGAGAAAGGCGTAACCACACGTTGCTTTTTTAGAATCCGTGCCGATTTTGACACGGGTGCAGAATTGATCGTCCGAATAGAAAATAGTAGTGTCTCGTAGAGTTTAACCCTGATTGTTCCGTAGTAGGTATGGCAAAACCCGGGCTGGAATCGGGAGATTATGTAGAGTTAACAGAGGAGCGACTGTCGGTGGATAAGTATGTCGATTTGGTTAGGGATCGCGGTGCTGGAGCCATCTCGACGTTCCTAGGAACGACTCGTGACTCGTTTGAAGACAAGATTGTGACCCGGCTCGAGTACGAGGCTTATAACGAGATGGCGATCAGGCAAGTGTATCCCCGTTAGCGGAGTCATTGACCTCTTTTCCCGCGCTTCCCCCTGCCTTCCCCTACACTCCCCCCACCCACACCCCCACTCCCCAGCCCCCCCACCCCGCCTCTCTCCGCCAAACCACCTCTCCCTTTTCCGGCCTTCTCTTTCCACCCCCCTCGCTTGCTTCTCCGCCCCTCCGTGCTCTCCTCCTTCCCGCTTCCGATGCTCCCATAATTTCTACAGTCCGTCGACATTGCATTTCTGTACCGCACTCTTCTTCCCCCCATTCCCGGCCCCTCCCCATCCCCCCATTTCCCTATCTTTTTCCCCTCCAGCCTTCTCCCTTTCTCCCCCGCCTCCCCTTGTCCCGCTTCTTTCCGCATCATCCCATCCCATGCGCCGCAATCCCTACAGTCCAGCAGCTCTTATTTCTGTAACTGACTCACCGTCCCCCCTTTTGAGTCGACTCAAAAAGTTTTCTTTCCCGCCTCCCTTCGTCCCCCCTCTTTCCGCATCATCCAATGTGCCGCAATCCCTACACAGCAGCACTTTTTTAGTGCCTGACTCGCCGTCCCCCCTTTGGCCTTTCGCCCTCCCACCCCCGTGTTGTTCGAATCGCCCATTTTCCGATTTGTCCTCCGAATTTCAGTGTCCTGAAACAGATCGTCCAGTCAGCGCGTGCCAAGTGGCAGCTGAAGAAGGTTGCAATCGCTCACCGCTTGGGAGTGGTTCCTGTATCCGAGGCCAGTGTAATCATTGCTGTGTCCAGCGCTCACAGAAAAGAATCCCTCGCTGCAGTTACATTCCTTATAGATGAGCTAAAAGCGAAGGTGCCTATATGGAAGAAAGAGGTGTACGCTGGACGTATCGGCGATAAAGTAAATATTGGTGGCCGTGCAGGTGTTGAAGGCGGTGGTGAGGGTATGGCGCTTGCTGGAGGTAACAGTGGGGAGAAAGAAGAAGCTGTTTGGAAGCAGAACGCCGAATTCGTTGTGTCTCATCCAGGGAGCTCGGAAGGACATCCCTCAAGTTCTTGATACAGTGGTAAGTGCCAAGTGAAGGTGCTAGGGGTGCTTGCTCTCAGGTTTTACAGGGTAGTTTAACACAAGTTGTACTGGAGAACAGATAGATTCTAAACAGTACAGGCAAATCAATAAAACCAAGGTGAGCGGACCTTGGTGGAAAGAAGCTTGTTGGGAAGCCTTAGCTGAGGAGATCAGGACTCAGCAGAAGATAACACATCCATGGTGTGTCATTAGACAGAGCAGAGGCTAGTCAGGATCACGTCAGGAGGAGCACGACAGGCAGTGGCGGGGAGCAATAGCCGCAGTTCCCACATCAGCGGCACATCAGAAAGGCGTCAGGGGAATGTCAAGAATGTCATGTCAACCGGGAGGGCCCCGGGGATCGCGCTTCAGAAAACACCACTGGAGCGAAGCTTCAGCTTCGACGCAGCGACAGACAAATCTGATTGTCATTAGCACGCTGGCAGCACCCGCAAACAAAGGCTATGTTGATGGCGAATGGTCGACCTCCACGTCTTCAAAATTGAGGGAGCGAAATAATCGTTTTGCCGCGTCTGGCGACATTTTTCTCCGCTTCGCGAAAAGGTCGCGCAAGTCTGGTCTGGCTTTTGTTGGTGCGTTTGGGCAGAGGCGAAGAGGCGAAATTTTGAAGCGCTTTCCCGTTGGAGTGGCTTGTACTACAGGAGAACCTTCAGCGTCTGCGGGGGGCGAGCACAGGAAGACAGGGAGAGATAGACAGTGATAGATGAGGCTCGTAGCAACTGCAAGCTGAAAACGAACCCGAAATGAAGACTTGTTCCGGTTAGAAGCTCCACCTCGGGGACGCCTTGAGATCGTCTCAGGGCAAATGCTGGCCAGTGACTGGCCAAATGAGAAGCAAATGCTGGATTAATGATGTTCGAGCGAAAGAGTATCTTTTGCTCGCAAGCAGCGGCTTACCCTGTCTTATTTCCGTTGTCGAAGACGAGGCGCAATCCTCGGAAATACTCCTATTGTCTGTCTCTGACACTTCATCACGCGGCACAGACGGCTCGCAGAGAACAGCAGGCGCCAACAACTGGAACGAAATTCGACACATCCGTACGAAGGTAAAGTGGTTAACAAACAATAAGGTTAATTGAAGCTAGTATCGAGGGTTCTAATTCTAAAACGCGCAGACATGATGCCGACTCGGGCCTTAAAATGCCACACAAGGTCCTTAGTTCAGTCCTAAAGTGGAACAGCATAGGTTATGATTTTGTGCAAAGGAGATGCCATCCTTAACTCGTCCATCAAACAAGCGTTTCAAAGTTGCGACGCCATCAGGCCTGCTGAAGTACACCTTTCCCTCGCCAATTTCAACCCCTGAAGTTGGACACTCGTGGGTAGGTACCCTTAGTTTGGGTTTCTGTTTCGAAGGACCCCCCCCTTCAACAATACAACGCTTTCCTCCCCGATGTTCTTGCTGATGATCTTTGCCTACGATGTAGATTCTGTAGATGAGTTACTGCTCCCAAGTCTGCTCCTGTCTGCTCCTTCTCACTGAGTGTGTTCCTTCTCGCTGCTAATTAGTTGGCAAACATTTGTTCATGTCACGTTATGGATAAGATTGCTTTCTTAGGTAGCCCGGAATTCAAGTGTTGAATTTCATCTGCGCCCATGAAAATCAGGGTCAGAATTCAAGCAGCTCAGGACTCAAAGTTTTGGTCCCAAGGCTTGGACATCTGCCCTGTCTTTTGGCAATATCAATAGCTTTCTCGATATTTGAATGGATTATTTGGCAGCTACCTGAATCAATTCTCATGGTACAAGTGATGCCCACCCCATGCACGCGAATCTGCTCTCACTGGATGGAACGCTGCACCCGAGGTTTTTTCCCCAGCCTGTTGCACCCACGTTACAAGCGCGTCGCGTGGTTATGAACCAATAGTAACGAACAGACCGAAGTCAAACTGAAGAGAATGAAGTCAAAATGTCAACGCATAAGGTTACAGATCCTTTATATAAGCACCTGCGAGTCCTTTTTAGCTAGCTGCGAATTGACGAAATTTATGCGAATGTCACGATACAGCTTATACGCCCCCTTCACAAGGCAACCGGGAGGGGCTCAATCAGGCATCATGTGTAGCAACTTCATGCACGTGTCAACTCCTTTCTCGGGAATGTGCTTGCAGTGCCGCTTATGTAACGATCTCGAAATGTTCAATGGCAGTTTCGGAAAAACTTCCGTGGGAATGACCTTTTATCGAAGAATCACGTGTACAAACTTCGGATAATGTCCCAGTTCGAAACACCACACGAATTCTTTCACAGTCGGAACCTACATTTGCCTGGCAATTGGTGTGGAAGAAGGAACACTATGGAAGCTTGTCAAACAATTTCCCGCCCCAGCTTTCACGTGTACACAACCCATGCACCTGTTTTCCCGTTGACCTCTCTGTTCCGGACTGGATCTTTCGTAAGGGCGTGTAAAAAAGTAACGACCAAACCAATTTTCCGCCCTTTGCACGTTTCTGGCGATTGCGAAACGATGTAACGCGTAAGCGATCCCCGCCACAATTTTCGTGAGCTCGTGGGGCATCCGCCACGAACCATCCCCGTAATTGAAAGCAGAAAATTTGAGTCTTACTACTGCATTCAAACGAGGTGGGAATAAAGGGGGCTTGGAGGCCTAGACCCGAATGTTTAACAAAGCATTAAGTTTAGGCGAGGACAAAGTTTTTCCCACTCGCTGAGGAAACATGTCTACGTAGGTCCCAAAATGCAGTGCGTCCAATTTCTATGCAGAATACCCTTGCTACTCTAAATCGGGGTGACTACTCTAAACGTCGTAACCCTAATTCCTCGCAATCGCCAGAAACGCCCAAATGAACGACCAGAGCGTTTGGTCGTTACAATTTTACACGCCCTAAGTGCGGCACTGCATCGATCGATCGACCCTTGTTGAATGCCAACGCAAACAAAATGCCTGTATAGTACATATGCATGCTTTCGTTCTTTCTCCTCGTTTTCTTGGGCTGTCCTTGCACGCAGCCTAGCCCAACGGCCCACTCCACACCACACCGCTGTCGCTTGGTCTGCGCCCTGCCCGTAAGAAGCTGAGCTGGTTCGAAACAAGCCCTGACACGTCCGGGAAACAGCCCAACCTGGCCCTGGAATTTCGAGCTTATGTACTCTAAAATAGCTGGTCTACTCTACCGAGCAGTGCACACAAGATAGGGGAGCTGGGGAAAGTGTTGTCGGGTGGGTGGAGAGAGGGGACGTACACCGCCAAGGTGAACGAGGGGGAGGTCGAGTGGGGGGGATGGGGGCATGTATGTGGGAAATCCAGGTAGGCCCAAAACCTCTACGTTTAGCAATCCGGCCTAAGGGTTAAACCAGTCCTGAAAAACTCTGAGCTGCGCTAAAACCAGCCCTGAATTCTCAGGGAAAACGGACCAATGTCCGTGAAGGAAACATGTTGGGAGGGAAGGGGAGGGGAGGGAAGGTCAGGGGAAGGGAACATGTTGGGGAATGGGAAGGGCACCCTTTTGGTCCTGCTTTCCGAATCTGGTCTCATCATTCTGCAAATGGCACGTGAACCATTCGCACAAGCACAGCCACCAATTCCCCCACCCACCTTTCATTCGCGTCGCAGGTCACCGTCAGGGCCGCTCTGAGCAGAGTCAAACAATCTGGCTGGCACCCTCATCACTTCTTCCGAACCGAACCACAATGGTTCGGTCCGTTCAACCAAAATTATCTGGGGTGCTGTGCCCCTTGCCTCATCATCGTCAGCCCGTTTCGCACGTTACCGTGTTCGGTGTTTGACCTTCCCCCTCACACTGGAACAATTTTTACATGGATAGTGGAATCCTCACTTTCTCAATTGCACTCATAACACCTGTGTAGAACAACAGGGTAGGTACAAGATACTAAATATTCCAACCTGCCTATCACCCACCTCTCCTAAAAGTTTGACAACATCAAATATTCTACTGTACTACTGTTCGAATGGTGAAAAATGGTATGGGATTAAAATAGTTGGCTGGATGATGGAAATATCAGTAATGATGAATAAGTTTTCTACGAGTTGACAATGTCATTGCATATGGCAGTCTTTCAGACTTCCTAGAACTCGACGTTCGCTTTTTTGCCTCACTATACAAAACAACTCCAGCTACAGTGATTCCATAGCCTATCATCCCTAACAGTGTTACAGGGTTACGGAATATTAGGATTGAGACGACTACAGCAACTGCACCTTTGGCATTTCCGAGCACCTGGAATCAGGGCAAAAAGAAGGGAGGAGGGAAGGGGGGAGGAGGGGGAGGGGGAGGGGGGGAGGGTGGGTGGAAAGATAATTAGTGCAACCTATCTTCTGCAAACAAACCATGGGAAAACAAGGTATGCTTCTGATTTCCATATGTACCACACACAGTAACAATGAACGGAGGAAGTAGCACAAACCACCCCAAGATGTTGGAGGGAGAGAAAAAGTACAAGGACCGTTTGAGAGAGAGTGAGTACCTGGAGAGTGAGCGCGCTCGTGTGGCGGGTAACCAGAAAGTTGGTGAGATTGACAAAGAAAGCAGTAGAGGAGTTGACTAGGAGCAGAGGGATGATCCCCCAGCCTTGGCCATTTGGGAATCACTTTTGAGAATTCTCGAAAGTGATCCCCCAGCCTTGGCCTGCCTTGCTATGTGGAGACAGCGCATACCTGCACAGAGAGAGGGAACCAGCAGAGAGTGCGCGTACCTGGAGAGTGAGAGCGCTCGTGTAACGGGTAGCCAGAAAGTAGGTGAGATTGACAAAGAAAGCAGTAGAGGAGTTGACTAGGAGCAGAGGGATGATTCCCCAGCCTTGGCCTGCCTTGCTATGTGGAGACAGCCTGCGCATACCTGCACAGAGAGAGGGTACCTGCAGAGAGTGCACGTACCTGGAGAGTGAGCGCGCTCGTGTAACGGGTAACCAGAAAGTTGGTGAGATTCACAAAGAAGGCGGTGGAGGAGTTGACTACCAGCAGAGGGATGATCACCCAGCCTTGGCCTGCCTTGCTATGTGGAGACTGCACATACCTGCACAGAGAGAGGGAACCTGCAGAGAGTGCACGTACCTGGAGAGTGAGCGCGCTCGTGTAGCGGGTAACCAGAAAGTTGGTGAGATTCACAAAGAAGGCGGTGGAGGAGTTGACTATCAGCAGAGGGATGATCCCCCAGTCCTGGCGTGCTTTACTGGCGGCAACGGCGAGCACGGTTGGCTCGATAATGAGAGTGGCGGGGAGGAGGAGGAGCACTGCTATGGGAGCCATGTAGAAGAGCAGGTTCATGGAGTTGAGCTGGTGGCTGGTGGGTAGAAGAGGAGGGGGGAAGAAGACGGGGATTTAGGGGAAGAGAAAGGGAAAAAGGATGAGTTGGAGTGGAGAGGAGCACTGCTATGGGAGCCAGGTAGAAGAGCAGATTCATGGAGTTGAGCTGATGGCTGGCGGGGGGGAAAAGAGTGGGGAAGATGAGAGGAGTTTAGGGGAAGAGAAAGGGGAAAAGGGAGAGTTGGAACAGAGAGGAGAACTGTGAGTGTGTGAGGAGAGAAAGTGGGTTGCGTGTGAGGGGGAACCCACTCGAAATAATGAGCAAAGAGAGAGAGCTAACAGCAGCCCTTAAGTGGGAACGGAGGGCAGAGGGCAGAGGGAAGAGGCCGAGGGCCGAGGGCTAAGGTTCCTCTCTCTCTCTCTCTCTCTGCCGCTGGAAAATGAGAAACAACACGAAATAATATACAACTTACCCATCAGATTGCAGCAACAGGCCCTGTAGCACAGACTTGAGTGCCCGCGCTGCTGTTGCTGATACACAAATGATGAAGCCAAAGAGGTGAAAGCTGGGCTCACTCTGAAGGGAGGGGAGGGAAGGAAGTGAGGGGCAGGGTAGGGAGGGAGTGGGGGGTGGGGGGGGGGGGGGGGAAGGGGAGGGGGGGGAATAGAGGGCGAGAAAGATGTCTGTTCGTTCCCGCTTCAACCAAAGACAAAATGATGAAATTACTGCAGCTCGTGCATTCATTCATTCACTTTTTCATCTATCATTCGCCCAGGCTTCATTCATCCATTCATTCGTTCATTCATTCAATCATTTAATAGAATTGTCTGTTTGACTAGCAGCAGGCTTTGACGACCCTACAACCACCCACCCACTCACTCTCTCACTCACTCACTCACTCACTCACTCGCTCGCTCACTATCTCACTCGCTCACAGGCTCACCCCGCTGGCGATGACGACGCCGAGCACGACAGGCAGGAGGGCGGCATACGTGAGGGCGGCCTCGCGCTTGAAGGTGAGGAGGTAGGCAAAGACAGCGGTGAAGAATGGCGTGGTGGCGCCGATGGCCTGGTTGAACGACACCGGGATGAAGCGCAGGGATGTGTTGCCGCCCACCACTGAGAAGCAGAACACGGCGCTCAGAGCCACGATTCTGAGGAGCTGCGAGGAGGATTTGAGAGGCTGGAAAGAGGGGTGGTTTGGGAAAAAGGGGGAAGGGAGGCATAGGATAGGGCAGGCGTGGAGAAGGTGGAAAGTCAAAGGGAGGAAGGTTGAAAATGGCACGGACTTCCGTGATGAAGGAATGGCGTGGTGGCGCCGATTGCCTGGTTGAACGACACCGGGATGAAGCGCAGCGATGTGTTGCCGCCCACCATTGAACACGGCGCTCAGTGCCACGATTCGGAGGAGCTGCAAGGAGGACTTAAGCGGCTGTTGGTGGGGAGTGGTTGGGGGAGACGGGAAAGGGTAGAGAGTGGTATGGACACTCGAGAGTGGTGGACTTGAGTGGCTGTTTGTGGGTTGAGTGGTTAGGGTGGGAGCGTGGGGAAGAGAGGAAGAATTTTGAGACCGCAAAAGGCAGAGAGGGAACGGAAGGGGAAAGGAACCCTAAACTGCTTACCTGCAGCGGGACGATCTTCATCCACACAATCTGCAGACAGGCTGTGTGGTTACCATGTTACAGTTACGCATGCTTACCTGCAGAGGGACGATCTTCATCCACACAATTGCGACGTAGCTGAAGAGAGAGCAGGCGGTCATGTGACACATGGTCAGGAAGATGGGGTATTTAAGGCCTAACTCATTGTGGGCACTTAAAGCCCAACACACATACCTGCAGAGGGACGATCTTCATCCACACAATGGCGACGTAGCTGAAGAGGGAGCAGGCGGTCATGTGACACATGGTGAGGAAGATGGGGTACTTAAAGCCATAGTTGCTTAGCAGGAACTTATTCAGCAGCAGCACCCCGATGTTGCTTGTGTACCACGCTGCGACTATTGACAGGGTAAATAACCCTGAGGTCTTCTTGGTAGATTCCTGCATGGTTGCACCTGGAAGCATACACGATACAATGAGAGGAAAGGAGCAGCAAAAAACCAGATGAGCTCAGGAAAAAAAAGGTTATCAGTATTTGATCACATTATCATAGTGACAGACACATTGTTGATTCAACCGAATCCTGACTTTCCTTTTAAACATTCCCGGTGCATTGTCCTTCGCTCCCCCTTTCGTAACTCCCCATGCTTCTCTCCTTATATAAGCAAGATTCTTCCCCCAAGCACATTGTGTACCACCTTCCCTACCTCACCGACTCTCCCCTCCCTCCCTACCTTCCTACCTCACTCTTTCGCCTCCCTATCTGAACTTCTTCCTCCTTACCGTGTCTCCCTTTTTACCTGAATGTTTCCCACCTACTGCACGATTCCCTTTCTATCCTCTTCCGAGAAGGACATTTGAGTTCAGCAAACTACTGAGTCGACTCAAGCAACAGCTCTCATATTCTCATATGATTCTCTATAGACATCCTCATCGCCAGCGGGATAGAAGCCGTTGTTCCCTATTCTCTTCTATCCCGGCTTCTATCCCGTCTCCTATCCCGTCTCTTCTCCGGTCTCCTCTCCTACCAGCCCCCTCTTCCCTTCCAAACATGCACGGAGATGAAACCTAGGAATCCAGCAACCGTGGGAGAGAGTCAGAGAGAGTCAGAATCCCAAACGACGAAAGGAACTCACGCGTTTACCGAACCACGCCAGGATCTTAAGTTAATTGCTTCCTGAACATTCCGCGGGATATTTTCTCCGTCACAGAAAAATCCTTGCGTCAGCGATGTCAAAAGCTCCTTCGGCGATGGACCCCGAATGTCAGCTAAAAATAGGATTTCTGATTACGATGATCAGTAACGCGTGAGTAAGACGCTAAGCAGCGTGAGAAAGTGAAATCAGTAACGCGAGTAAGTGAAATCAGTAACGCCAGTAAGAACATATAAACGATAAGCTAAGCGCGTCACAGACAAGATTGCGATCACACTAGTTGTGCATCCTTGTTCGTTCTCGTGGGGCCGCAAAAAGCGCAGTAATAAATAATATACAACGAAACCATAGCTTGGTTGAGTGTTGGTAGGAATATGAGCAACTGATGTGATGTGATCATTTGACTCTGCCGCCCAGCCAAAAGGGTGTCCCACAACTTCGTTTGTCCTCGGTACCCTACCCGATCGATCTAGATTCTCGTTAGACCGCTGTAAAACACAAAAGAACTCATTTAGGAAAACTGTCAAGACACGGTCCCCCATGTTCAGACGATGTTGAGATGGGTGGAGCAGTTTTGTGTGGCGACGTGAGCGAACTCAACGAGCTGCGGTGAGATGATGCCATTCGCTGGACGAAGTGTTCGACGAAGTTGTTACCGCCTTGGGAACACTCAACCTCCAGTGCTGTTACACTATCTCCTTTGCAGCCTCTCAGATGTACCTTGATTAATACCCACTAGACCCCTCAAATGGAAGCAATCCAATCATAACATGTACACAGTATCCTTCTTAGTGTTTACAGGCCGATACACAATTGGATTAAGCGAAGGTATTATACAATCACAAATCGGGATGCATACATAACATACCATGCACACTAATTTCCCCCTTTTTTTGTCACTGGAGCGAGGGTGGTAGTGTAGCAATCATATGCTCGATTCTCTCCACCACCTGTGCGGCCGTCGGCCGTTGCTTCACATCCTGCTGCAGCATGCACTCCACCAGCCTATGGAACGATGCTGGGTACCCCACAACCTCCCCTCCTGCTCCCCCCACTGAAGAAAAATCAGCAAAATCACCTCCAGACGATCCAGTCGCGGTCATATTGCTAGGAGCGTCCATTAGAGCAGGGGAAGGAGAGGAGGAGGAGGAGGTGGGGAGGGGAGGGTGGGGCCATTTGATGGTGCCGCTCATTACTGCGAGTTGCAAGCTGCCTCCTGACTCGCCCAGGGAGAACTCAAAGGGGGACTGCCCGTACCTGGATCAACAGAGAGAGAAGAAGAGGTGGGAAAGCGGGGAGATGAGGGAGACAAGGAGGTGGGGAGGGACGGGTGGGGCCACTTGATGGTGCCGCTCATTACTGCGAGCTGCAGGCTGCCTCCTGACTCGCCCACAGAGAGCTCAAAGGGGGACTGCCCGTACCTGGGGTTTGAGTAGAGAGAGGAATGGGGAAAAATGGGGAGAAAAGGGGGGAGAAAAGGGGGGAGAAAAGGGGGGAGAAAAGGGGGAGATAAGGGGGAGATAAGGGAGAGGAAGTTGCAGGGAGGGGGCGGGTGGGGCCATTTGATGGTGCCTCTCATCACTGCGAGTTGCAAGCTGCCTCCTGACTCGCCCAGGGAGAACTCAAAAGGGGACTGCCCGTACCTGATAAAGATGAGATAGAAGAGGAGGGGAAAACAAGGGGAAGGGAAAAGGAAGACGAAGGGAAAGAGGGAAGGGGGAGCAAAATGGGAGAGAGCAAAATGGGAGAGAGCACAATGGGAGAGAGCAAAATGGGAAGGAGAAAAAGGGGGAGAGAAGTGGAAGGAAAGAAGGCATGAAATGGAAGGGATTTCAAGGGGAAGCGAGAATGTGCAGAACTGCTCCTATGCATGTATGGATGCACAACACACATGCACATCTGCCTACAGTAACACCTAGCTACAGTCCTCACACTCACATGGTGACGGAGAGAGTTCATCCCAGCGAACACACGCTATCCTGTGTCTCCCTCCCTCCAGTCACAATGACAATACTGATGCTCACATTTGTCTACAGACACATCGGCCTACAGTCATCACACTCACATGGTGGTATAGAGCGTGCATCCCAGCGACCACACGTCACTCCTCTCATCGATCTCCATCTCACTTGGACGGTCCCAAAACTCCATCACTTTGGTACGCCGCTGAACAGTGCTTCACCGCTCACAACAGTCACACCAGCCGAAGTCACCATCTTCCTACAGTCACACTCACATGGTGGTATAGAGCGTGCATCCCAGCGACCACACGTCACTCCTCTCATCGATCTCCATCTCACTCGGGCAGTCCCAAAACTCTGGCGCTCTGTACGCCGCTGAACAATGCTGCGCCGCCCATTCCTGCGACAGAATCAAGCCCAGCAAACGAAGGTGGAGGGAAAAGAAACGGCCAGCAAAGAGGATCAGAGCCCATTCTTGCGACATTGTCCGAGCGCTGTATGGAACAGTGCTGTGCCACCCATTCCTGCAATGGAAACAAATCCAGCAAATTAACACGGAGGGAGAAGAACAGGTCAGCTAAAAAAGTCCTAGGAGCTCTGTACGCAACTGAACAGTGCTCGTTTGCCCTTACTAACCGTATCTGCTTGCAAAAACAAATCGACTACAGAGATCGGAAGGAGCGAGGGAGAATGCAAAGCACAAGACTCATGCAGTCTCAACAGTCCGGAACTCTGCACATTAGACACACCGAAAAGCCCTGTTGCTTTTGAGGAAGTTCTGACGCATGTTCACCTGCAAGGACAGGGCCTGGTTGCGGGAGGTGATGTGTCTCCTGGCAGGCGTGGTGGAGCCAAAGTCCATAATGGCTACCGCAACATCCGATGCCGATGCTGTTGGTAATCGCTCCAAAGGCACTCCCTCCCCTGCTCCCTCGCCTCCTGCTGCTCCTCCTGCTGCTCCTCCTGCTGCTCCTCCTGCTGCTCCTCCTGCTGCTCCTCCTGCTGCTCCTCCTGCTGCTCCTCCTGCTGCTCCTCCTGCTGCTCCTCCTGCTGCTCCTCCTGCTGCTCCTCCTGCTGCTCCTCCTGCTGCTCCTCCTGCTGCTCTTCCTGCTGCTCTTTCCCCCCCGCTCCTGACCCCACCTGTGTTAGCCTTTCCTGCTTCTCCCGTTCCTCCTGCTTCTCCTGCTCCTCCTCCAGCAGAAGCAGAAGCAGAAGCAGCACAAGCACCATCGCCACCACCACTGCCTACACCCACTACGAAAGCATCATCCCTCTCTGCCACACCAGTCACGCAAATCCCATCGCCTCCGCCCCTACCTATTCCCCCGCCTATCCCCCCTGTGGCGCCATGCCCTCCCCCAAAGGCTATGAGGATGTTCCCTGGCTTGATGTCGTTGTGGGCTAGAGGGGGCGAGCTCGCATGCATGTGTGCAAGGCCCGAGGCAACCTGGGAAATAGAGGAAGGGGGGAGAAGCGTGTTGGGAAGGGAGGATGTGAGGATGTTCCCTGGCTTGACGTTGTTGTGGGCTAGAGGGGGCGAGCTCGCATGCATGTGCGCAAGGCCGGAGGCAACCTGGGAAATAGAGGAAGGGGGGGAAGCGTGTTGGGAAGGGAGGATGTGAGGATGTTCCCTGGCTTGACGTTGTTGTGAGCTAGAGGGGGCGAGCTCGCATGCATGTGCGCAAGGCCGGAGGCCACCTGGGGAAGGAAAAGAGGGGAAAGAGGGAGGAGCGGGGAGGAAGAGCTAGGCTATGAGGATGTTCCCTGGCTTGATGACGTTGTGGGCTAGAGGGGCCGAGCATGCATGCATGTGTGCAAGGCCTGAAGCACACTGACAATACATTTGCTGCAAAGGAGCATGCCGATCATAGGAAGAAAAAGAGGTGACTTTTGAGTCGACTCAAAAGTCACCTCGCATGCATGTGTGCAAGGCCTGAAGCACACTAAAAATACATTTGCTGCAATGGAGCATGCCGATCATAGGAAGAAAAAGAGGTGACTTTTGAGTCGACTCAAAAGTCACCTCGCATGCATGTGTGCAAGGCCTGAAGCACACTAAAAATACATTTGCTGCAATGGAGCATGCCGATCATAGGAAGAAAAAGAGGTGACTTTTGAGTCGACTCAAAAGTCACCTCGCATGCATGTGTGCAAGGCCTGAACACACTAAAAGACATTTGCTACAATGGAGCATGCCGATCATAGGAAGAAAAAGAGGTGACTTTTGAGTCGACTCAAAAGTCACCTCGCATGCATGTGTGCAAGGCCTGAAGCACACTAAAAATACATTTGCTGCAATGGAGCATGCCGATCATAGAAAAAAAAAAACCATTACCTGGCTGATAATGGTGAGCACTTGAAGTGGTGAGAAGCGGTGGCCTCTACCAGGTTGCGACCCCTTGGGTTGAGCCATCCAGGCGACATGGTCGTGAATGGTGCCGTCCCGATACACTGGGAAGACCAGGTACGCCTCCTTGGTGCCCTGCTGCTGCTGCAATGGGGTGAGAGCAACAGGAGGGTGCGAAATGGTGAGAAGTGGTGCGAAGTGGTGAGACGCAGTGCGAAGTGGTGAGAAGCAGTGGCCTCTGCGGGGTTGCGACCCCTTGGGTTGAGCCATCCAGGCGACATGGTCGTGAATGGTGCCGTCCCGGTAGACTGGGAAGACCAGGTACGCCTCCTTGGTGCCCTGCTGCTGCTGCAATGGGGTGAGAGTAACACAAGGAAAAGAGAGAGGATTAGCCGGAGCCATCGACTACGCAACATGGTCGTGAATGGTGCCGTCCCGATACACTGGGAAGACCAGGTACGCCTCCTTGGTGCCCTGCTGCTGCTGCTGCTGCTGCTGCTGCTGCTGCTGCTTCAGGATTGAAGGGAGTGGAATAGTGAGGGAGAGGGGGTGTGAGGGGTGGGATGGAGGTATAGAAAGTGGGGAGGCAGAAATGAATAGGTACGCCTCCTTGAAGTCCAGCTGCTGCTGCAGGAGTGATGGGAGTGGACACAAGAGAGAGCATGTAAGAAAAAGGAGGTCAAGCAGGTCGGGAAAAATACCTTCGGGAGTTGACGTGGTAAGGCAGAGCGGTAAAGGAACCCAGGAATTACCCCGGATGACGTGACACAACGGCGTGTTCCACTAAAGGGAGAAAGTTGGGAAACGAAGCTGGGAGTTGCAACTGTAAAATCAGGAAGAGATAACCCAGAGGCTACCTTGGATGATACTATAGCGTGTTCCACTAGAGGAAGCAAGTTGGGATGGTCCAGCTTTGAAGCCACGTCGATTTCCGCCTTCACCAGCAGCAGCTGCTCCTTGGTCTGTATCAGAAACTTCTTTAACGCATATGTGTTGTCAGCTGAAGGAGAGAGGGGGGTGGAAGCATAAAATACAGCATCTCTTTTGCCTGTATCAGAGACTTGGATGACGCATATGTGTTGTGAGGTGGATGGTCGATGGGGTGGGGGACAGAATAGAGAAGAGAATATGGGGCGAAAAAAAATTGTAGCAAGGACAAAAATCGTTGAGTACAGTACTGGTTCCAGGGGTCTTACGAGAGACGTATTTCCGTTTCGGCTTGGATGGAAGAGACGGCTTAACGTCTGATTCGTCGGCTGATCCTGCATTTCCCCCTGAATCTCTGGGTTCCGCGGCCTTGTCATCACCGCTGGCCTCCACGTCAGCAGCTGGATCCGACGATGCATCTGCACCATCGACGGCGCTGCTGCGGCTGCTACCGGTCTCGCGAACAAGGTAAACGAAAGCGTAACCACCTTCGCCAAGGTTCTGCACGATGCGAAACCGTCGCCCGTTGACCTTCACCTCCTCGCCACTACTCACAGCATCATATATCGCCGCCAATCCCGACCACGTGCAACCCATTAGGTCTTTAATATCCTTAAGCTCCCTAATATCCTTCAGATCTTTCGCGTTGCTGCTGTTCCGGGCAGCCCCGTGGCGAAAAGTTTCGACCAGGTGTTCTACGTTCTGTGTCACTTGCTTCACGCCCTTGTTCTCAAACACGTTATCGACGAGCTTCTCTACGTTCTGTGTCACTTGCTTCACTCGTTCGCTCTCAAAAACGTTATCTACAAGCTTTTCTACGTTCTGCTTCACGCCTTGGCTCCCTGCGAACACGCTTTCATACAAACGGGAAAGACCCTCGCCCACACCGTGAGCCTGGGTCGGACGTTCCGCAGAACCACCCTGGACCCCTCTAGAACCGCTCTGGACCCCTTCAGATTCGCCTTGACCCCTGGCGAACACGCTGTCGTACCAACGGGAGAATCCTTGAGAGCTCATGTGACGAGGCTCATGCTCGCCGGGAAGATCGCGAAAATGATGGCGATTTTGCTGTTCTGGCGGACCCCTAATATGGCGTTTAAAGCCAAGACGCCAGGCCTGTTTAGTCCCCAACTCCCGAGGGACTAGAATCTAGATGCTCCACAGACTGATCTCCCAAACAAATGTCACGTGGTTTTGTTACAGGGATCCAACGGCAGCGATTAACCTAACGGATTGTTCCCGTGGTTGGGCTTTGGTGATGGTTTGCCCAGCCGTGATTCGTTGATCTTGCTGGACGTTTGTAGGTTGCTCGCAGTAGTACGCGCTTTTAGAAATTCGTTCGCAAAATAGAACCTGTAGTTGGGGGGAGAAGAACATCGACTCCACTGGGGATCGAACCCAGAATCTCTGGTTCCGTAGACCAGCGCCTTATCCATTGGGCCATGGAGTCACGTTCGACGGTTTGCCAAAATCAATTCGGAAAACTATTCTCGAGACGACGCATTTCTGGTTTTAGCCTTCCACAGCCATCACGAGCCACCATGGGCAGCAGCAGCGCCGTCGCGTCGCTCCGGCTCTCACTCACCAACCCGCACCTTCCGCAGCCTCGGTGCGGGTCTGAGGGACGTCAGCCGTGCATCAATCCGCGAGCATCGCTGACATGTCAGCAACCCTATCCTCCCCATGTCACACCTCTGAATCTTCCTGCAGTTGTCTGCAGGCGGGGCGCGGCCCGCGTTACTCGCGCGCTTCGCATCTCAGATAGCGGAACAAGGTCAAAGCCTAAATGCGCGCAGCTATGCCTTCAACAATTCCTGAATAGAGTATCACAGTCCCATCGGTTACAGTCCGCCTGCAGGTTCAGTAGCGATCAAATTCCTAGAGCAACTGAACGCGCCCTGGGAGCAAATGGGGGGAGATTCAGTTTCGGGGCAGATGAACGTCTTTCTTCCTGGTCGGGACTAGCTGCGCCAGGAAGGTTCGCCGCTGTTTCGGCCGAGCTGGTATCTGAGAGAGAGGCGAGTAGAGCAGCGCGGGGAACTGTGCGGTGTAGATCCGGTGCGGATAATAACGAGACGGAGAATGACTCTAGCGCGGACGGGGAAGCTGCGGTGGCGGAGGCGGAGGGGGAGAAGGCTTGGTGGGCGCAAGGGTGGGACGTGCCGTGGGGGTGGAGAGCGACGGGCATCGGAATGAGCGCGTGGATTTCGAGGTGTGTGCTTATAACGGGTGCTAATAACGGGTGCTAATAACGGGAGCCGTGCAGCTGGCCTGTCTCAAGCTCGGATGGGCCCCCTGGAGGGGCACGGACCTCAACGACGAGGCGCTCTTTCTGCTCATCAACCAGTCGGTTGCGTGTGTGTCCATAAGCTTATGTGTACTCTCCTCCCTTCTGTTGCCCTCCTCCGAAACCTCCAGTTTCATCTTTGTGGGCGTAGCTGTGTAGCTTGCCTGCCTGAAGCTCGGATGGGCCCCTTGGAGGGGCACCGATTTGAACGACGAGGTCGCTCTTTTTGCCCATCAACCAGTCCCCTCCCCTGTGTGTGTGTGTGCGCGCCCGCGTGCAGTTCCTCCCTTCCCGCAGTTTCATCTTTGCAGGAATAGCCGTGCAGCTAGCCTGCTTGAAGCTCGGATGGGCCCCTTGGAGGGGCACCGATTTGAACGACGAGGTCGCTCTTTTTGCCCATCAACCAGTCCCCTCCCCTGTGTGTGTGTGTGCGCGCCCGCGTGCAGTTCCTCCCTTCCCGCAGTTTCATCTTTGCAGGAATAGCCATGCAACTAGCCTGCCTGAAGCTCGGATGGGCCCCTTGGAGGGGCACCGATCTCAACGACGAGGCGCTCTTTCTGCTCATCAACCAGTCGCCTCCCCTGTGTGTGTGTGTGTGTGTGTGTGTGTGTGTGTGTGTGTGTGTGTGTGTGTGTGTGGGGGGGTGTGTTTGTGCACCCGCGCGCACTTCCTCCCTTCCCACAGTTTCATCTTTGTAGGAATAGCCGTGCAGCTAGCCTGCTTGAAGCTCGGCTGGGCGCCCTGGAGGGGCACGGATCTCAACGACGAGGCACTCTTTCTGCTCATCAACCAGTCGGTGCGAACGGCATCAGGGATCGCCATTGTGTGGCTTGTAGCCCGCCCCTTCCAACCACTGCCCACCGACCTCTTCCACTGGGGTAAGCGCATTGAGAAGTAGGCGCCTTCTGGGGTAGGTGCCTTCTGGGCTGCTCTTTCTGCTCATTAACCAGTTGGTGCGAACGGCATCAGGAATAGCCATCGTGTGGCTCGTCGCCCGCCCATTCCAACCACTGCCCACCGACCTCTTCCATTGGGGTAGGTACCTTCTGGGAGAGGTAGGTATGCGCGTTCTAGGGTAGGTTCCTTTTGATAGGCGCCTTCAGTGATAGGTGCCTTCTGGGGCAGGTGCCTTCTGGGGCAGGTGCCTTCTGGGGTAGGTGCCTTCTGGGGTAGGTAGGTGCCTTCTGTGGTCGGTAGGTGCCTTCTGGGGTAGGTAGGTGCCTTCTGGGCTGGGCCGGTTGGACGTTTTGACAGCTAGTTTCCATCCCTCGTCCATTCACTCCCCTCTTTCCCCTCTCTCTTCACCCTTTCTCAGGTTTCGAGGACCCCTTCAGTTGTCGCAAGGGATGGCTGTCCTGGGCCGGCGTTGGCGTTTTGACTGCTGGGCTTGTGGTGTTTGCTACTGCCACTGCCACCACGGCCCTTTCAGGAGGCATTGACCCGCCTAGAGAGGTACTGCTGTGCTGCTGTTGACTTGTTTTGACTCTTGTTGAATCTTGTTGACTTCTGAGTACCTTACATTACATTGACTGCTGGGCTTGTGGTGTTTGCTACTGCCACTGCCACCACGGCTCTTTCAGGAGAGATTGATCCGCCTGGAGAGGTGTTGCAGTGTTTGTTAATGAACTGTGTTGACTCGTGTTGACCTGTGTTGACTCGTGTTGACCTGTGTTGAGTCGAGTGTGCCTTTATGTTTGTTGTCCCGGGCTGGTGTGCGCGTGATTGTTCGATTTTTGGTGTTCTGCATTTCAAGTTTACTCAAAACACAAATGTGAGGAGGGAAGAGCGTGAAACCATACGCCCTGAATCTTATCGCATTTGCATTGCTGGTGTGGTGCTGTGCTTTAAACATACTCCCTGCTGCTGACTCCCTGCTGCTGACTCCCTGCTGCTTACTTCCTCTCCTCTCCTTGCTTCCTCCCTCCTTCTGGAACCTCCGTCTGCTGTGCTGGTTTTCCCCCTCCCCCTTCCATCTCCTTGTCTGCCCAGGAAGCTGACACGTTGGTTTTTTGAGAACTCTAAACAAACATACGCGTTGGTTTTTTTAGACTTCTCAAAAAACATAATCTCTGTCTGCTGTGCTGGTTTTCCCCTTCCCCCATCTCCTCGTCTGCCCAGGAAGCTGACGCGTTGGTGCAAGTGCTGCCGATCATCGCCGCCTCTCCGTTCAGCACCCTTGCGCTCATCTCCGTTGCTGGTGTGATCTTGCATCCCCCCCGCCCCCTCTCCCGCTGTCCCTGACCCCCCCTCTTCCCCCCATCTCCCAACCCCCTTCTCCCCCCTCTCCCCCATCAGGATGCAGACGCGTTGGTCAAAGTGCTGCCCATAATCGCCGCCTCCCCCTTCACCACTGCTCTAAGCCACCCTTCATCTCCCAACCCCCTTCTCTCCCCTCTCCCACATCAGGATGCAGACGCGTTGGTCAAAGTGCTGCCCATAATCGCCGCCTCCCCCTTCACCACTGCTCTAAGCCACCCTTCATCTCCCAACCCCCTTCTCTCCCCTCTCCCACATTAGGATGCAGACGCGTTGGTCAAAGTGCTGCCCATAATCGCCGCCTCCCCCTTCACCACTGCTCTAAGCCACCCTTCATCTCCCAACCCCCTTCTCTCCCCTCTCCCACATCAGGATGCAGACGCGTTGGTCAAAGTGCTGCCCATAATCGCCGCCTCCCCCTGCAGCACCGCTCTAAGCCACCCTTCGCTTTTGGTGCTCCCTCTGTTCTCCCTTTCCTTCCATTTTTGTTCATCCCCCTTTCTCACCCTCACCTCTTCCCCCCCATCAGGTTGCAGACGCGTTGGTCAAAGTGCTGCCCATAATCGCCGCCTCCCCCTGCAGCACCGCTCTAAGCCACCCTTCGCTGATGGTGCTCCCCTCTGTTCTCTCCCCTTTCTCACCCTCACCTCTTCCCCCCCATCAGGATGCAGACGCGTTGGTGCAAGTGCTGCCGATCATAGCCGCCTCTCCTTTCAGCACCGGCGCACTCATCTTCGTGGCCGGTGTGCTCGCCCCCATTCTCGAGGAAACCATCTTCCGAGCCTTCCTCCTCACGTCGTTGACTAAGTGGTGAGTTACCTGCCTTAACTGCTCACGCCCTTCACATGAGGGTCCCTGCCACTGCCCTGACAAAGTGGGTCCTTATCGCTCATCTTTGTGGCCGGTGTGCTCGCCCCCATTCTCGAGGAAACCATCTTCCGAGCCTTTCTCCTGACATCACTGACCAAGTGGTGAGTGGTAGGACATGCTATAGGCCAGAGGGTACGGCAGAGGGTAGCCTTCCTCTATAGGTGCCCACATCTTTGTGGCCGGTGTGCTCGCCCCCATTCTCGAGGAAACCATCTTCCGAGCCTTCCTCCTGACTTCACTGACCAAGTGGTGAGTTACCTGCCTTAACTGCTCACGCCCTTCACGCCCAACACGGGAAGATGGTTACCTGCCTTCACTTATCGCTCATCTTTGTGGCCGGTGTGCTCGCCCCCATTCTCGAGGAAACCATCTTCCGTGTGCGTTGGGGTCGTTTTTGAGGCGCCTCAAAAACGACCCCATTCTCGAGGAAACCATCTTCCGAGCATTTCTCCTTACGTCATTCCTTGACCATGCTATGCTATGCTATGCTATGCTATGCTATGCTATGCTATGCTATGCTATGCTATGCTATGCTATGCTATGCTCTGCTCTGCTCTGCTCTGCTCTGCTCTGCTCTGCTCTGCTCTGCTCTGCTCTGCTCTGCTCTGCTCTGCTCTGCTCTGCTCTGCTCTGCTCTGCTCTGCTCTGCTCTGCTGTGCTGTGCTGTGCTGTGCTATGCTGTGCTGTGCTGTGCTGTGCTGTGCTGTGCTGTGCTGTGCTGTGCTGTGCTGTGCTGTGCTGTGCTGTGCTGTGCTGTGCTGTGCTGTGCTGTGCTGTGCTGCGCTGCGCTGCGCTGCGCTGTGCTGCGCTGCGCTGTGCTGTGCTGTGCTGTGCTGTGCTGTGCTGTGCTATGCTATGCTATGCTATGCGCCAGGAGGCAGGTCAACCGTCTGTTGAGCCATCCTATTTTCGTTGCATTTATCTGTTCCCCTCTTCCCTGTCTTTGTCCTGCATCTCACTAGAGAGTGGAAGGGAGTGCCTGCGCCCTTGTGGAGGCGTCTTGAACCTCCCATCCTGTTATCGCATCTCCCCTCTTCCTTCCCCTTGGTATCGCATTCCCCTCTTCCCCTCTTCTTTCACCAGGATGGCCATTCATTCCTCTGGCAGTGGCAGGGAGCGCATGTGCATCTGCTCTGCAATACGTCCCAATCTCCCCCCACCCAACTTGTTGACTTTTGAGTCGACTCAAAAGTCAACCCCCACCCAACCCGTTGACTTTTGAGTCGACTCAAAAGTATCTGCTCTGCAATACGTCTCAATCTCCCCCCACCCAACCCAACCCAACCCGTTCCCTCCTTTTACCTCACCCGTTTCTTCCCGTCTTCAGGATGCCGGTACCCCTGGCAGTGGCAGGGAGCGCCTGCGCCTTTGCTGCAGCCCACATGACTCCTAACGAGTTCCCTGTTTCCGCCTGCCCTATCCCTTACCTTTCTCGCGAAACCCATCAGGATGCCGGTACCTCTGGCAGTGGCAGGGAGCGCATGTGCATTTGCTGCAGCCCACATGACTCCTAACGAGTTCCCCAAGCTGGCTGCTCTCGGTACGTTGACTGAATTGACGTGTGGGAAGGTTATTTTTGAGACGTCTCTCGGCCTCTCGGTACGTTGACTGAATTGACGTGTAGAAAGGTTATTTTTGAGACGTCTCTCGGCCTCTCGGTACGTTGACTGAATTGACGTGTAGAAAGGTTATTTTTGAGACGTCTCTCGGCCTCTCGGTACGTTGACTGAATTGTCCCGACTTTCTTTCACAATTCTTCCCTCTTGAGCCATCTGCAAGCTGATTCCAGCTCGTAGACTTCTGAGGACCTTTGAGGCGCCTCAAAAGCGAAGCTGGCTGCTCTTGGTGTGTTGACTGAATTGCACCGACTTTCTTTCACAATTCTTCCATCTTCAAGGTGCTTCCATCTCGTAGCTCGCAGGACTTCTCTCTCTGGCCTGTAGAAATATTCCCAATCAGCACTGAAGGTAGCTGCGCAGGGCTATGATTGGAAATGAGATTGAAAGCATGGCGCTGGGATTCGCCTGTATCCGACTTTTGAGGCGCCTCAAAAGTCGTCTCTCTACCCGCAATTTTTTTTTAGGCGCCTCAAAAGTCGTCTCTCTACCCGCAATTGTTTTTTGTTTGAGGCGCCTCAAAAGGCTATGATTGGAAATGAGATTGAAAGCATGGCACTGGGATTCGCCTGTATCCGCACGCACAAACAACCTCCGTCATCCGTCCCTTTCTTTCTCTCAATTCCTCCCGTCGTTTCTCTCTGTCCCTCCTTTTGCTTCTCTCAATTCCTGTCATGTTCCTCTCTATCCCTCCCTTTGTTTCTCTATCCCTCCCTTTGTTTCTCTATCCCTCCCTTTGTTTCTCTATCCCTCCCTTTGTTTCTCTATCCCTACCTTTGTTTCTCTCCATTCCCCTTGTCAGAGGAGAATGGTGTTGGAGTGTAGCTTTGTGCGCACGCGCAACCTCCTCTTTCCAGCAACCTCCTCTTTCCAGCAACCTCCTCTTTCCAGCAACCTCCTCTTTCCAGCAACCTCCTCTTTCCAGCAATTCTGTTGCTTCTAGCAACGCTCACACACACTATGTCTCTATCCCTCTCCCCCCCCTGTCACAGGATTGGTTTTGGGTTTCACCTATGTGCGCACGCGCAACCTCCTCACACCGATGATCATCCATTCAGTATGGAACTCAGGGGTCATCATCATTCTCACGTTGCTGCGGGTAAGGCGTTTGACTGGCTTTAAGTGCGTTGACTGGCTTGATTGCCTTGCCAACCTCCTCACACGAATCATCATCGTTCATTCCGTGTGGAACTCAGGGGTCACCATCATTCTCACATTGCTGTGGGTAAGACCTTGCTGCGGGTAAGACCTTGCTGCTGGTAAGACCTTGCTGCGGGTAAGACCTTGCTGCTTGAAGCAGTATTCACCACTTCCCCAATTCCTCCTCGCACCAATAATGATCCGTTTCGTGTGCAGCTTGGGGATTGCCATCATCATTCGAACCCTAATGCGGGTAATTGTTTTGAGACGTCTCAAAAGTACCCCACTTTGGGTAAGACCACTTGAATAAGACCCTACTTCAGGTAAGACCACTCGAAGAAGACACGTTTTTCCTAGTGACTTTTGAGTCGACTCAAAAGTCACCTCGTAAGACCACTCGAATAAGATACGTTTTCCGTGGAACTCCTGGCTATTGCCTTGCCAACCTCCTCACACCCATCATCATTCTAACCCTACTTCGGGTAAGTCCACTCGAATAAGACCACTTTTTTCCTTGGAACTCCTGGCTATTGCCCTCCCAACCTCCTCACACCGATCATCATCCTCCCGACCTTGTTTTATTACTACGGGTGAGACCTTGCTGCCCTACACCTCCGGCTATTGCCTTCCCAACCTCCTCACACCGATAATCATCCACTCAGTGTGGAATTCAAGGGTCATCATCCTCCTTACCCTAGTTCGGGTAAGATGTTGGCCTCCTAAACGAGCTGACTTTTGAGTCGACTCAAAAGTCAGCCTTCCCAACCTTCTCACACCGATAATCATCCATTCGGTGTGGAATTCAAGGGTCGTCATCCTCCTTACCCTACTTCGGGTAAGATGTTGGCCTCCTAAACTGCCTTCATTGCATTCCCAACCCCCTCTTTGGAACTCTCTTTATTGTCGACCCAAGCATATGGAAACAGGGGGTTGTCTTTTCTTGTCTAGCTGTTGGTTTTTCCTTCGGAGCTGCTTGTTTTGAGTCATCTCAATACACACTTACGAGTTGACTCAAAAAGTCATCTCTGTACATACTTACATCGGGTTGGGAGGTTTTAGTCGTTCTTGCCTCCCTGCTGCTCGGTGCATGTTGCTCCCCATCACTGCCTGTTTCGAGCAGACCCAACAATACACACATGCTTTCCTTGCCATGGTTTCTCTTGTTCCCTTCTGTTCTTTATTCAGATGGAAGGATATGATATTCAGGAGCTGATATAAGCACATGTAGTGGAGATATACGGTAGTGGTTTAAGTCCAGAAGATCAAACAAATATATGCAAGCTGCTGAGTTTTGGAGAAAGATGGCAGTACCTATATCGGGCCTCCTGAAACAAGGGTATGCCGTATAGAAAATTATTCATGTTGTATTGGACGAACAGGAATCAGGCAAAGACTGAGCAACATATCTACTATAAAGGGCCACTGTATACGCTGGTTGAGGTAGACCAGGAGGTTTGATTCTCGGACATATAAGTGCACGCTTCTGTCAACAGGACTAGGCAAGAATGATGCATTGAATGAAACAAATGGGTACAAGTAGCAAACCCTAGTTGGGGTTGTACCCCATATTGGCTACCCCACTACAGCCTACCAACATGTAACACATTACAATTTAACACACCCCCATAGGCAAAGTGGGGGAGAACAAAGGGTCACAAGACCAGTCCAGCAAAGCAACGCAAGCCCAGGGTGGATCACAACGTCACCACACTCCGAGCACAAGCAAAGGCCACAAGGCCAGTTCACATGCAGTGCTAGATATAGTACAAGACAAGCAACACAGTGATCAAAGCCTAGCAAGCAAGCAACAAGATATATATAAAGTACAGTACAAAGAAAGTCAAGCAGTAAGCAAATGAGGGAATGTGGACACAAGGCCTAAAGAAGTACAGTGCCGCTGATGATCACTAGGCGGGAGCGCCTTGGTGAAGATATCAGCAGTGTTGGCCTTCGAGTCCACGTACACAAGCCGAAGCTGACCGCGCTGCTGCAGCTCTCGAGCAAGAAAGTAGCGAAGAGCAATGTGCTTCGTCCTGTGCTCCAGTCTGTGCTCCTGACACAAGGCAAGGGCCGCCTTGTTGTCGCCGTACAGAACTGGAGGAGAACTAGGCCGCTCTCCCAAGTCAGTCAGCAGGTAGGTGAGCCAGCGTAACTCCTGTGCAGCCATGGCCGTGGCGTAGATCTCAGCCTCACAACTAGAGCTGAGAACAGAAGAAGAGCGGGTGGACCGCCACGAGACAGAACCAGAGCCAAGGCTGAAGGTGTAACCCTGCGACGACCGCTGCGTAGCCAGGTCGTCCACCCAAGAAGCGTCCGAGTGACCAGTGAGGACAACTCTGTCGCGTCCTCCAAGCACCAGCCCCATGCCTGATGTACTGCACAAGTAACGCAGCACCCTCTTAGCAGCCTCCCAGTGCTCTCGCCTGTGTCTCCCAGGCGCAACGTAACGAGCAAGGATGCTAAGAGGGTACGCGAGGTCAGGTCGCGTGCAAGTCATCAGGTACATGAGGCAGCCTACAAGCTTTGGGTACGGGCCACTCGGCTCTACGGACTCGTCCAAAGGTGGAGCTGAGAGCGAGTGGCTGGTAGCCAGAGGTGTGGCCTGTGGTGAGGAGAACTGGAAGCCGAAGCGCTGAAGGACCTGCTGCACCATGTGTGACTGAGTCAGGGTAATGGTGCGGCGTGCTCTGTCCCGGGTGATCTGCAAGCCAAGGTAGCTACGCAGCTCACCCAGGTCAGTGCAGGTGTGTCTCTTCTGCAGCTCCGACTTCACACGAGCGAGTGCCTCAGTGTCAGCAGTAGCAAAGACCAAGTCGTCGACGTACACGAGAATGTAGAACGGCGGCAGCGACGTGTCTGTGCGCAGGAACAGTGACGGGTCAGCAGTGGAAGGAGCAAACCCAAGGGCCGCAAGTGTAGTCCTCAGTGTGTCGTGCCACTCGCGTGGCGCCTGGCGGAGACCGTAGACTGGCCGCCGGAGGCTCCACTGGGTACCAGGAGGAAACGACCCAGTAAAGCCAGGTGGGCGGCGCAGCCAGATCTCCTCGTGCAGGCTACCCTGCAAGAACGCTGTGCTGAAGTCAAGAGAGTGAAGCTCGTAGTTACGCTGAGCGGCAACGTGCAGCAGAACCTGAAGAGTGGTCATCTTCGGGGTGGGGGAGAAGGTCTGGAAGAAGTCAACCCCCTGACGCTGACTGAAGCCTCTAGCAACGTAACGAGCCTTGAAGACAGGTGGAGAACCTGGCGGCCGCTTCACCCTGAAAATCCACATGCCATCGACGATGTTCGCCCCAGGAGGGGGAACCTCGTCAACGTAGGTGCCTGTGGACTTCCAGGATGCCATCTCTGCGTCCATGGCTGTCTGCCACTGAGAGGAGTAGGGGCCCGAGATCGCCTCTGCGTAAGAGCGCGGAGTGGGGATGTCTAGTGCATCCGGGTCTCCCTCAGGGGCAAGCAGCCAGGCCACAAGATGAGGTACAGCAGCCGCAAGAGAGTCAAGGTCCTCCTGCCTGTCCTCAAGGACGTCCGTGCCAAAAGCACACTCACCCCCGACGGACGGAGGACAGACAGACTCAGACTCAGCAACAAGACTAGCGACGTAGTCTAGACGACAGGCAGCAGCAAAGTCGACAAGCTCAGCGACCAGGGCAGACGCAGCAGTAGACTCAAAAGACGGGTCAGTGACAACAGTGGCGAGAAGACGGGTAACAGTAGGGTGGGCAGCACGAACACTGTCAGACTCAGGGTCGGGAACGTCAGGAAGAGAAGACGCAGGAGGAGACGGTAGGGGGACACGCTGTGGACCAGTGGAAGGACGAAGGGCCATAATGTGCGTGCCAGGAACAGGAGGAGGACGCGGACGCGCGACACGACGACCAGTGGGACCAGTGCGCGCAGTGCGAGCAGTGCGAGCAGCGCGAACAGGCGAGGCAGGACGAGACACAGGCTCACGACGCTCCGTAAGCGAGTCCGGCTGTGCAGTGTAAGGCACAGGAGCAGGGAGGGGGGAGCCAGGCTGGAGGGGAAGGCCAGTGGAAGACGGGAGGGAAAGAACCTGGCGAAGCACCGTGTCAGGCGGTGGCAAAGCCGACGGCGACGGTGGAGCGAAGAACAGTCGCGACGGCGGAGCTCCGCCAGCACCTCCAGCACCCGCAGCACCAGAAGCACCAGTACCAGCGCCCCCCGCCGCAGCACCCCCAGAGCCGGCGACGTCAGCACCAGAGGCCCCAGCAGCGGCAGACCTCCCCTCGCCAGCACCTCCAGAACCAGCAGGACCAACACCTCCAGGACCGTCAGCTCCAGTGTCGTCAGCTCCAGCAGCTCCAGCACCTCCAGGAAGAGCACCCCCAGAGCCGGCAGCTCCAACTCCGCTAGGACCGTCAGCTCCAGAGGCCCCAGCTCCAGCAGCTCCAGCCTCAGTGCTCCCAGCCCCGGCAGCTCCAGTACCCCCAGTACGAGCACCTCCAGGACGAGCAGCTCCAGAACCTCCAACTCCAGCGGGACCACGAGGAAGGCGAAAGCGCTGGACGTACCAGTCACGAAGCTGCTGCTGTGTGAGAGGCTCCCGGAGAGACGGCTCAGCACCCCGAACCGGAGCACCCCCAGACGCAGCAACCCCAGGCTCCGTAGGCTCAGTCGCAGCACCCCCAGGCTCAGGACCCCCAGACTCAGCACCCGAAGTCTCAGCGCACCCAGGCCCGGCAGCTCCAACCCCGCTAGCACCGCCAGCTCCAGCAGCTCCAGCCTCAGTGCTCCCAGAACAACCAGCCCCGGCAGCTCCAGTACCTCCAGTACGAGCACCTCCAGGACGAGCAGCTCCAGAACCTCCAACTCCAGCAGGGCCACGAGGACGGCGAAAGCGCCGGACGTACCAGTCACGAAGCTGCTGCTGTGTGAGAGACGGCTCAGCACCCCGAACCGGAGCACCCCCAGACGCAGCAACCCCAGGCTCCGCAGGCTCAGTCGCAGCACCCCCAGGCTCAGCACCCTCAGGCTCAGCACCCCCAGTCGCAGCACCCCCAGGCTCAGCACCCCCAGGCTCCGTACTCTCAGGCACCGTACCCTCAGCTCCAGCACCCTCAGTCCCAGCACCCGCAGCCCCAGCACCCCCAGGCCCAGCACCCCCAGGCTCAGCACCCCCAGGCTCAGCACTCCCAGCAGCACCACCCGCAGCAGCACCTGAGTCACCTGTGACCTCGACAGGCTCAGCGACGGGAGGAGGGTCTACCTGAGAGACACCTGAAGGAGCAGGACCCTGAGGGGGAAGGGGGTCTACCGGAGGGGGACCAGGAGCGAGGAAAAGCGGCGGGGGAGGGAGGGAGGCAGTGCGGTAGGGGAAGAGACGGTAAAAAGGAACCGCCGGCGGAGCTGGAGACGAGCAGCGCGGATCCAGGGGATCAAAACAGTAGGGACCTCACCCTTGGTGCGCAAGGGGAAGACCGTGGTGTAACGCGTGTAGTCGTCGACGACCAGCAGGAAGTACCGCTCGTGGTCCTGTCCACGGACGCGGGCTGGGCCCCACACGTCCAGGTGGAGAGTCTGCAAGGGAGCCTCTGTGGGAGGGAACGAGGAGGAGTGAGGAGCGGCGCGCTGCCGCCCCTCGACACAGGGAAGACAGGGAGGAGCAGGCGAGGGTGGGAGGGGAGGGAGAACTCTGGGAAGACCAGAGACAAGGACACGACGGTGCATGCTGCGAAGGCGCTGCACCGAGGGGTGACCAAGGCGGTGGTGCCAAAGGAGGGTCTCGTGCGACAAGGCGCGACACAAGCAGGGGGCCGACAGCTGACCTGACGCAGACGCAGACGCAGCTACCTGAGGGGACTCAGTGGTCAGGGTGTACAGGCTCGAGCCAGGCGCACGGGTGAAAGTGGCCAGGTGTCGGCCCGTCCGAGCACACGTACAGTGAGTCACCCGCTGACGCGCAGGAGTGAACTGGTCAACCCCCCCATCCTGGAGGTCAGCTCCACTCACCAGGTTCGTAGAGAACGAGGGGAGGTAGAGACCTGACAGCAAGCCAGACGGGGCGGCCGGACACGGCAGAACCGTGGAGTAGTGGGCAAGGACTGGACCCCCAGAGGGGTCGGCCAGGGAGACTGCAACCGGCCGACGAAGCGGCGTAAGTGTGGTGCAGTCGCGAAAGAAGGAGCGGGAAGCTCCTGAGTCAAGGGTGAAGGTGTGCAGGGTCGCAGCAGGCGAAGAACCAGAGAGGGCAGACTCAC